TGATACACTATTGGATTTACCTAAATTCCCTGTCTCATCAGTTACTCTGCCTTCCCTATTTCCCACTGTGTACCTTGAACCTTACCCCTCACATCTCTACTATATTCATCCCATTAAGTCAGAAACTCAAATCGATCCCACTGTAATACTTTTTTAAAAAGCTGTTGTAGAAAGCACAAATTCTGTATTATAATTGATTAGCTGACATCTTGTATGCAAATAGCATCTTGCTAAAAGTAACATGATGAATTGCACAGTTACCAGGACATTTAATGATGAATTTGACTCGATCTAAAATCATTAAAATGCCAGAAACGAAACCAAGTCATTGTGGCAGCAGACTGTATTTGGCAGGTGATGATGAGACTTACCCAGGAGCCCTGGTGGTGTAGTGGGTTCTGTGGTGGCTTTGAATCCAGCAGTCACTTTAAGGGAGAAAGCTACGGCTGTCTGCTCCTGCAAACTCTGGCAGCCTTGGAACCCTCACGGGGCAAAAGCGACTTGAAGACAGTTGGTTTTGGCTATGAAAGTCACATTTGTTTGTAAACTTGAAAAGATGAAGATGCTTAAGCTTTTATTTCAACAAAGAATATTTTGAAAAAAAGTACTCTGATAAGAACAAACCACACATACAAATATGCAACTTTGTACAAAATAATTTATTACATCATTATATAGTTTGGCATTATTTTACAGTGAGACTTCTCTCAATAATTAGGAATCTCCAGCAATGAGAGTAAAGGAAACCAATTTAATGAGAACTTTTTGTCTAAATAGAATCTCCCTTCTTGAATTTATATTCTCCAGAAAGGGAAGCCTCAATGTTATGGACATATTTACATAGTGGAGGACACACAAACACACCGAATGATTCCATTACTGTTTTCTGTACAAGACAGAACAAAAAGCTATCCCCTCAAAAATCACTGGTCAACAATGCTATATTTTAGTAGTTACACTAACAATAGTTTAAACTCATTTTGTTGAGGGATACAAGAATGCATTTACTAGTTAATGCAAGGCTGTAAAACATTTCATTAATTTATATTCTTTCTGTTCTGCTTTCTCCTTGAAGCACATCGCTCAGATATAAATTATCTGTTCAAACTCAAAGCAATTTGGTCAAAAAAGCATAATTCTTGCCTGTGAGTCTCGAAGAGGCAAGAATTAGAGAAGCAAGCAATTTACCAGTGAGGTTCTAGGACCGAGGTAAACCAATTCTCACATTCTAACTTATCTACTAAAACTGGATGGAGTACCCTTATTCAACCAGAAAGTATTCTTTTAATGGATATTACAAAAATTAAGGTGGGGGAAACAAAGGCAAATTAAAGTACATTTTAAGTAAATAAACCATTATTATCTACCAAGATGGGTTCCATGTTGTTTTTAACATAGAGTTAACACCTTAAAATCAATGTACTTTCATTTAAAAAGCAAGCAACTAAACAGCAATAAAACAAACCAGTAAGATGGACCAAATCACCAATCCTGAAACCAAAATCTAAGGAAAATAATATTGTGGCACTGTGGTAACTTGCTGTAATAAGAAAACATCACATTAAAAAAAAAAAAATCACATTTACAAAAGTGGCAGCACCTACTGCAATGATAACAAGAAAACAGTACAAGTATGAACAGGTCATTCTAACTTATGCTGATGAAATTGGCAGAGTCAGGTAAAGAATACTCCATTTAAAAATTCTATCCAACTATTTCAGTCCATATCTACATGAGAATACACCCTGGAAAAGAAACCCTGACTTGAAGTCTAGGGAAGACAACTTTTCATTAGATCTCAAATTTCATTTGCCAAAACATCATAGTTAATAGCTGTGTGGTTCAGTGTTGCACGATGACTGTCAACTTCACTCACAGCAGGTAGGAAAGCAGATGTAAAAGGAAACAGTTTATGACAGGCAGTTCTGTAGTCTTCGTATTGGGAATTACAATTTCCAAAACTGCCGTCAAGCAATGCCTCAGAAACCTTTATTAAAATCTGTGGTAAAAGGGGGAAAAATATATTTTTTAAAGGCTCAGTTAATAATCACTTTAATCAAAAGATACAACTTGTTAACTATTAATAAAACCAAGAGAAAGACAACATGGCTCCAGTCTAAATGAACTTCCTGCTATCTACAGCACATAATCACAAGATGTTCTTCAACAGAGGAACATGTAAATTCAACTTTGCAAAGCCTTAAAAAAGGCAGTGAAAACTTGCCTAAAAAAGTGAATCTCTAAAACTGTGATCAGAAGTACAAGTATCTTTGATGAGTAACAACAGTTCTTATTTAGAGAGTGCTGACCAGGTGCCAGGCACAATGCACTTCACATTGTAGTTTCCATTAACCCTGCACAACTCCCTGGTAGGGAGCATTTTCATCTCCATCTTATACAGGAGGAAAAGGAAACCAAAAACACTCAGCTTGCCTAGAGCCATCAGGCATAACTCTGAAGGCCCCCTTAAGAACCATATTGTAAGGATGTGTCCTGGTAAAGCTTACCTTTACATTTTTATCTTTTATACTTTCATCCAGTCTGGTGGCAATAGCAATTGCTTTCTCTTGCCTTGACTTGTCCAGAAAATACATCATTTTAGCACCTGAAATATCAAGATATTTAAAAATAAACTCCAAAGTCCTTAGCTTTGATCTGATAATACACTGACCAGTGATGTAATGATGCTTCCAAGTGTTTGATCAGCACTAGGCTATACCAGCTCTTAAGAGCCAGTTCTGACTTCTCTTCCCAACTCCCTGTTCAGTGACACCCCATTGACAGCTGGGGGCCACAATTTTAAAACAACCCAAATCCAAGCTGTCATCTGATCCACAGATCTGGGACTCGTCAGCCCCACAACTGCATGAACCATTCCCTCACAGTTCCGTGAGCCATTTCCTCCTTGAAGTAAATGTCTTTCTTAATATATACATTTCACTGGTTTTGCTCCTCTAGACAACCCAGAGTAAGTCAGAGCTCCATGTATATTATCTTTCTTGTCAGTTATGTATTTGGTCTTTTAACTTCATAATGCTTTCATTTTTATGTGGTGAAAAGTATCTTTTCCCCTTGAGAGTTTCATATAATGCTTAGAAAGACATTGCCCACAATCTTAAGAAATGTTTTCTTCTATTGTCCTGTGTTCTTAAAGAGAAATTCTTATCTGCCCTTACTACCAAGAAGCATTATAATTTTTCAAAGGAATTAAATTTTCACCCCACAGGTATCAGAACTAAGGAACATAGTGCTACTACTAATCACAACGTCAGCAATTCAGCAGTTTAAAACTATCAGCTACTCCCTGGCAGAAAGATGAGGCTTTCTGCTCCCATGTAAATTTGGTGGTGGTGGTGTGCTGTGGAGTCGGTTCCAACTCACAGCGACCCTGCATAGGGTTTCCAAGGCAGTAAATCTTTACAGGAGCAGAAAGCCTCATCTTTCACCCACAGAACTGGTAACTTCAAACTGCTGACCGTGGGGTTAGTAGCCTGACTTGTAATCCATAAATATTTACAGCATCAGAAATCCTATAAGCAGTCACCATGAGTCAGAACTAGCTCCACAGCATATAACCACCACCCAGGGATCAGAACTCGGAAATTTCTCTTTATGATAAGAAAGCTTTGGTTAAGACATTTAATATATGGCTTACAGTGGGAGTGTAATTGTAGTATGCACTTTGTTGTGTCTCCAAATCCTTTTTCTACAATCTTTTGTCCAATTATAATTTATTACATCTTGTTATGAGTTTACATTAAACTAAAATCCTTCCTGTAACAAGGCAGGATATAAATAAATACACAAGGTAAAAAAAGAAAGCAATAAAAACACACAAAAAATAAATACCTCATAACCACTACACCAAAAGGCAACTGTTAAAGCTTTGGTACATACTTCCGTTGTCTTTTTCTCATGCACAGTTTCACAGCACTGAGATTATATTATATGTTATAAAAGTAGTTCTCTTTGTTATTATAAACCCTTTAAGTAAACATTTTAAATTACTATTTGGTATTCCATCCTACAATTCTACCACACTGCTGCTCATATTATTGGACAGACATTACATGTTTCCTTTTTCTATTCTCCATACTTACACATAACATTATTGTACTTAGCTATTACTGTGCTTGAAATTAATTACTTGGAGTTATTTACAAAAAGTGACTGCTAAATCAAGACACAAATAATTGTAATTATAAATAAACTGTAATCAAGAGACATAAATAATTGTGGTAAGACCAATATACTGTTTTCCCAAGTGTCTGTGCCAATGTACTCGAGGCCACTAGGTCTAAGAGTGCTTGTTCACCACATCTTTCCACAAACAACAAAAACATCTGTTCATTTGAAGGATCAAAAAAATTATGAGTGGTATATATTTTCTTTTCTCTGATAACTGAGGATGAGGACCTTTTCAAATGCTTCACTTCACATTTTAGTGTTAAAAGTATTTTAACCCTGGGAGCTAAATACAAACCTGAAAGTAGATGCTGAAGAGAGGTAGAGTTATAGTTGAGAAAATCCTCATTGAAACTTCCCAAATCCTTGTTGACAAATATTTTCTGCATTTCCTGAGAGAGAACTTTGCTAACAATGTCTGGAAGATTACTATGAGTAGACACTATAAAAAGAAAATAATTGGAATTTTTGTTGTTAGATCAGGCTTTTAAAAAATTCGTATTTTTTTGTGTTTTTTGTTATTATTAAGCTTGACCTATTTTATATACCTCTGGTATAAAGATATATCCTAGTCTAAAAATGAACCAATTTCTAGTACTGCTTTACTAGCATATTTAATTTCTAGCTATATCTTCATTCAAACAGTTCAAAAATTACCTATTAATACTTACCAGATTTAGAAAATTTAATTAAGCATTCATGTAACCATGGGTTATTACTATTTATAGTAAAAGCTCGTTTGACAGACTGCAGCATCAACAGAAACTTTCCTGGATCAAAAGAAAAAGATAAAAATAATGACCTCAACATTTATGTATGTTATTTTCTTTACTTTCTGCTAGCCTCATATGAAAGTCAACAACAAAATGTTACCTCTTCTATAAAAAGATTTGTAAGTAAAACTCAAAGCTGACTTTTCTTATAATGTTGTTGTTGTTAAGTGCCGTCGAGTCGGTTCCAACCCAAAGCAATCCTGTATAGGGTTTCTTATCATAGGTAACTTTTATTTTCTAAGGAAAATATTAAAAACCATGAAGGACTGCTTCAGGTAACTATTAATCTGTATGACCGTTCAAACTATTCTTAAAATGGACATAATTGCAATATTCTAATTTATTATCCACCAAAGTTGAAAAGAACCAAGGAAAAAAGGTTTAAGAGCTTTTGCAGAAGATTAAATAGGACTCTAAGGAACAAAAATAGATCTGACAAATATGACATTGAACGTGGTTACCAATATACTACTACTTATTACCTTTTCTAAAATATATTTCAAAAGCTAACAGATGAGTGTCAATGTTATCAGCAACAAGGTTCTTAAGAGGTATAAGGAATTTAATTGCCTCTTCTAATGGGTTTTCCACCTATTTTGAAACAAAAAGGAAAAAATATTTTATTTTAAAAATAGCAATACAAGTAAAATTTCCCCTAAAACTTATGCTAACATTTATCTAACAGAATTTAGCCAGTTTTCTTTAAATAAAGAGGTAAAGCAGCAAAATTTTTTATTTTAAAACTACTATCTGGGAGCTCAAAGAGCTCTGGTAGCGTAGTAGTTACAAACTGGGCTGCTAATCTCAAGGTCTGCAGTTCGAAACTACCAGTGGTTCCATAGGAGAAACGATGAGGCCTTCTGCTCCTGTAAAGATTTACAGCCTGGGAAACCCTACGCAGGGTCAGAATCTACTCCACAGCACACCACCACCACTGCCTTACAGAGCTCACAGTACTGTCACTATGAGTCGGAATCTACTCTATGGCACATGCCTACAACGTTTGTTGTTGTTATTAACTGCTCTCATCAAGTCAGTTCCAACTCACAGCAAATGTATATAGGGTTTCCCAGGAACAGCTAATGGGTTTGAACCGCCAAACTTGCGGTTAGATCCAATGTTTATCCTACAGCCTCACATCAGTACTCCACAACAGGAAGAGTTCTCAAATGCTTCTAATGTTAACAGGCAATTGTATTCGTTTTCTATTGCTGCTGCAACAAATTACCACACTTAGTGACTTTAATCAATACTTCTGGAGGTTAAAATTCTGACAAGGGTCTCACCTGGAAAATCAATCAAGGTGCTAGCAGGACTGCATTACCTTGTGAATGCTCTAGGGAAGAATCCCATGCTGCTAACCTCAAGGTCAAGGTCAGCAGTTAGAAACTACCAGTGGTTCCATAGGAGAAATATAAGGCTTTCTGCTCCCGTAAAGATGTACAGCCTTGGAAACACTGCGCAGAGTGGGTCACTATGAGTTTGAACTGACTCCACAGCACACCACAACCACGAGAAAGAATCGAGTCCTGGTATGGTGCTTTAAAGTAAGCACTGGACTGCTTACTGCAAGGTCAGTGGTTCAAAACCACCAGCCACTCCTGCGAAATCCTACTCAGGGTTGCTCATTATGAGCTGGAACTGACTCAATGGCAGTTCATAACGGGAGAATCCATTTCCCTGCCTTTTTCCAGCTTCTAGAGGCTGCCTGCACTGCCCCACTTGTGACCCCCGCTTCTTCCATCTTCAGATCCAGCAACAGCAAGTTGAGTACTTCTCACAGTGCATCACTCTGACCTCCTCTTCTGCTTCCCTCTTACACTTTTAATGCCGTGATTAAACTGGGCCCATGTGGATAATCCAGGATACTCTCCAAGTCAACCAAATTCCCTTTTGCCATGTAAGGCACACCACATTCACAGGTTCCAGGGGTTAGAATTTGGGCATCTTTGATGATCATTTTTCGACCAACCACAATAAGAATGACTCCTAGAATTTGCATGTGCCAAAATTTGTATATTTTCATTAAAAGACAATTGATATTTACCATAAATGACCTTGAAACACTTAAAATACTTTCTAGTTCATAAATACAAATAAATCACATTTATAGCCAGGACTGATCCCAGTAACAAATTTTACTAAAAACATACAGACAGTAAATTTATCTCACCCTTTCTAATCTTTCAGGTATAAATTCCTCTTTGAGACTGCTGGCTTCTTCGTCTTCTTCATCTCTTTTCTTCTTTTGATTTTTCTGTTGCCGTTCCCTTTCTGCATGCTTTCTCTCTTCTTCTAATTTAGCCTTTTTCTGAGCTCTTCTCTGCTTGCTAAGCATTTTCTTCAGTTCTTTGGCTGACAGGTTTTCTATTAATATCCAAATTAATCAAAATTTTACTAAGGCAGTATTTCCATTTTTCCTCACAGTCCTCTGTGACCATTACAAGGAGACATCAAAAAGTTCACGGGGAAACTAATGTAATTATTTCCACAAAATTTTAAAAATACTCTTATATGTATTAGTATATCCTTGAAGTTGGGGGTTGGAGAGAGGCTATTCCCAGCAATTAATATCAAACCAGGCATATAAAAAAGTCAATGAGTAAATGCTGCATTGATTGACTACAACTAACCAGTTCTAGCCCCAACTCTGTCTGGCACACAATGCCCAACTTTACCCTTCACCCTTCTCAGTCTCAGACACCAAACTATAACATCAGGCTGATAATGCTAACTACCCTCTCAGAATATAGGAATAAAAGATCACAAATTGGCCTCCACGCTACTTTTCTCAAATACTGGTATAAATGTTAACATTTCCGTGAATTCCAGCTGTACAGATCCACTCAGTGGCATTCTTCTTTTCAATGACGTAGGTACTAGAGGTAAGAATATATACTTTCCCTTATGGGGCCCAAAGCTACTTTGTTAGAATTTAAAAAGAAAGAAAGAAAAGGAACCCAGTCTGTAGATATTTCCATTTTTCCTGAACTGGTCTTACTCAAGGTAAAAATGAAAACAAATGCTACTTATTCCACTCAGGTGATTTACACACATCAGCTACAGAATAGCATCCCATTTTTTTTTTAAGACCCCCACCACCACCACACACACACACACACACACTTTATTGTTTTAGCACATTAGTTATAAAATGTCTTCACACCCATCTGACATTGGATCATTAGTTATTAATTCTGAAATTCAGTGCTATCTTCAAAAAATTTTTTCAAGTAAATTCTTTTTCAGTTACCTGAGTTTATTTCTTGTTGTTTGTTTTCGTTGGTTAAAGGACTGTCATACAATTTCAGGTATATTTCAATTGCTGATCTAGCAGCCTTGAAATAAAAGGCATGTCTTCTGAGTATATCTTCTAACCTCAAAAGGTCAACATAGGCACGAAGGGTCATTTTTCTCATGCAGTAAGTATGGAAGTCAAATTGATCATCAGTTATCTCAAAAAAATGCTTCAAAACAAAAGCACAAAATTATTCTTTACATTTATGTCAATGATTTCTACTTTTGAATAGAAAACTACAAGTCTGGAGCACAATTTAAACTGTCAGCAATTTCACTTAGTGGCCCTCGCCAGCAATGAACACTAGAAAGGGTATCAGGTTCGTTACATTAAGCTTACGTTTCTCTTCCTACAGTCTGTGCCTATTCCCTAAAAATCCTGTTTTGTTATGACACTCAACTTTTATAGAATAACTTCGATGATCAAGGTAGTTTTAAAACCTGGAATACACACTTTTCTTCAATATTCCCCAAAACCCAACATGGCAGTTTTTAAAAAGAGCTTTCAATAAAAAGCAAAGATACGCACGTTGACACTAAATATTTACAAGTCAGACTGCACTCCTCGACTATGAGCTTGCTCTTCAAGCAAACACTGTCATCTCTGCCACATTGTCTGGCCCAGGACCTAACCCTCTGGCAGGCATTCAATAAGTATGTTTCCTTGCCAACTCAAAATATAAGCTACCTAAGTAGCACGTGAATTTGCACAAGTCTTTTAAATTCCTTAGTGCCTCAACTACTGAATCTAAATTAGGAATAAAGAAATCTGTAAAACCACTTTCTAAAGTTATTAAAGGGTCAAATAGGAACTTATGCCAACGTGCATCCTAAACAGTAAACTGCTATTCAAAAGTAGACTGTTATGATTTTCTCTCACTCAATCAAGTTCCTATTTGCCTACCTATATTCCATTTTAGCAGAGATTCTTAATGTGGAGTCACATACAGAAACACAATGGCATTATTCTTTGGCATGAACTCAAAAAAGTTCTCAATTAATTCTCAAAAGATCCATGACTCAAAAAAGGTTAAGAACTTATATGAAAAGGAGAACACTGATCCATCCTCCCCCACATAAAGCAACTTTGCACTTTTATTTTCTCTCCTGTATGTACTTCTGCCTTTCTCTTCTTTCTTTTCCAAATACACAGAGCAACTCCAAATACACAGAGAAAAATGAGTAATTGCGTATAACACAATATAGGTCAAGTTTCCATTGTACTTTATCGTTCTTGTGGACTAGGGACCTAATAACTCCTTATGCAGAGGTCATATTAGTAATTGTCCATAATCATTTGAACATTTCAGTTGTCTTGGTAAACAGAAGTCCCTGGATGATGTAAACAGTTAATATGCTCGACTTCGTCTGTTAACCAAAAGATTGGCGATTCAATTCAAGTTGAAGAGTTGCCTCAAAATAAAGTCCTGGCAATCTACTTCAAAAAAAATCAGCCTTTGAAACTGCTATGAAGTGCAGTTCTTCTCCAACACACATGGGGTAGCCATGAGTCAAAATAAACTCAATGGCAACTGGTACTAGCGGTAATTAGAAACACATTATACATAAAATCACATTAAGCTTCTGAGATTTTAAGAGAACTTCAAAGATCAAAGAATAAAAGCACACAGTGCAGAGAGAAACAGAAAGCAGATATTTCTATTAGTTTATACTTATTACTTGAAAACTCATGCCTTAAGGATGCTGGATTTGAAATCTGCATTCCTCTACATCAGTAAGTAAAACCAACTCATAAATAGTAATATATATTTGTTTTTTTAATCAAAGGATATTTCAAAAAGCTGTCAATAGTTTTCTTTGATGTGAGTAGTTATATCTACATATGAGTATCTTAAAATTCAATACAATTAACAATAGAAAAATGGCAATGCTAAAATAAAAGTCATGGAATTCATAAAATAAAAACATCTAAAAGTTTACAGGACTTTTTTTAAAGTTGAGAAACATTTTAGATGTGAAAAGGCAGACACAAGCTTCAAGAAATACTCCCAACAATATTAGTACACATAGACCTAAAGTCCAGCCTCTGACAGTTAGGATGGGAGGGAGTCCAGTGGAACCACAAACAGGTAAGCAGCCTCTTTATCAGTAACAGCCCAAGGCTGCCTCTCTCCAGTGAATGTCTTCCATAAACAGGGTGATGCAACCTATCCTGCTTTGCCCAAGGCTACCCCAAGCTTTACCACAGGAAATCCCTCTGCAAATCACAGGCAATCTGAATAGTTGACCACCCTATGTAAGCGAAGTGATGATGAACAAGGTATAGCTAGATTAAACTATGGGGGTGGAAGATAGGGTACTGTAACTATAGCTTATTAATAATTTTGCTTTTGAAAGAAATGGTATAGTATACTGTAGAATTCTACACATAAACAACTAAAAATTCTTTGGCTGATTTTTTTTAACTATTTTGGAATAATTATAGATACAAAGGAAATTGCGAAGGTAGTACAGAGTGAACTGGTCTAGCTCTAGTACCCCCCAAAGGTGGTAGCTTATGTAATTATAGTACAACATCAAAACCAAGAAACTGACATGGTTCTCTGTGATTTTATCACTTGGCTAATAACCAAGATAAGGAGCTCTGGTAGCATAGTGGTTACGAATCCAGCTGCTAACCTCAGGGTCAGTAGTTGGAAACTACCAGCTGTTCCGTAGGAGAAAGATGAGGCTTTCTGCTCCCATCAAGATTTCAGCCTCGGAAACCCTGTACAGGGTCGCTGTGAGTCAGGATCAACTCCATGGCACATAACAACAACAATAATAATAATCAAGATACATAACAATTCTATCATCGCAAAGATCTCCCTCAATACTGTCATGGGCTGATTTTCCCAACCATATAAAACATGCTAGAGAACACAGAGAAGTTTGTTTCCCTGCATGAGAATGATAGTAGAGAGGGACCCAAATCTTACTATATAGTCTGTATCTTTAACTCTTTCTCCCTCATCCAAAACACTATTTTTTTCCTTCTTCTTTCTTAAGGGGGGACACACAGTTAATGCTGACAGGAATTCCACAAGCTTTCAAAATTAGGCTTGTATCCAAGTAAACTAGGTCTACAAGATTTAAGAAAAACCATCCATACCTTTGTTGTTGTTAAATGCTGTCGAGTCAGTTCCAACTCATAGCAACCCTGTATAGGGTTTCCAAGGATTAGCTGGTGAGTTTGAACCGCCGACCTTGCGATCCAATGCTCTATCTACAGTATAGCTTAGGAGTGCCAATTTCTTTAGAAATTCTTTCTTAGGCCTCTCTTCTGACCCAGATTCTAAAGCCCATAACCTCTCAAAATTCCTAGATAAGACTATGTAGAAACACACAAAAAAAAAATCCTCTGGACTTAAAAACAGAGGAGAGTAAGTAATGTGGAACTCGCTCTACAGAAGCTGTCACTGTAACATATTAACAATTTGATAAAGACTAATATGCACTAGAAAAGAAAATTATAGACTTCCTATGGTTTTAATCTATCATAAAACCAAGATCTTATAAAGTAAATTATAGACTTCCTATGGTTTTAATCTATTATAAAACCAAGATCTTATAAAGTAAATTATAGACTTCCTATGGTTTTAATCTATCATAAAACCAAGATCTTATGAAAAATTTTTAATATGTATCGGTTACCTACCCTGTGTCTTGAATATAAATCAGTTCACTAAAAGGATAAGCTATCTAACAGTAAACAAAAAAGAATGCTCAATTCTTGAAAGACAAAAGTGTTTAAGAATTATTCCAAACACAAGTTTACATCCAATATTTTGAGGAAGACTACCATTTTTTAAAATAAACTCATGTTTCACATATCAGATTGGGCTAGACTATGTAATCCTTACATATCCCAAAAATCCTATAGAGTGGCAAGATGAAGACAGAACAAAGTACTATGCTGGCTCCTCCTAGAAACCGGTATTTCAAATCCAACATCACCCACACAACCTACAGCTAACAATGCCTTTAGTGAAAGAATTCTTAAAGACTAAAGACTTAATTAACCCTTATTTGAATGTATGTTTCTAATCATAACTACTTTGAAGGTGAACTAAATGTGAATCCAGTTCTAACTGTGCAAAATGTTCACTTTTTTACTAAAATTTAAGCTCCAGGTACAAAATTCTTGCTATGTAAGTATATATTATAAATCTTTTAATTTCAAAATGACTCCCAAATTCTTCCAATTATATTATTAAAATAAGGATTTTAATTTATAGGAAATTTTAGCTCTAATTATCCAGTCAACAAATATTTAATGAGCTGATTTGTATTAAGCACTCATATTGTTTCTACATATAATCATAAAAAGTCTTCCATTAAATATGAATTATTCATTGTAAAAAAGACTAGTTTGTAAGTGGTATAACAGTACGAGTAGAAGCTTTTCTTGTTCACCTGCTTCAGGCTGTTTCCAGTCTCAATCATCAACAGAAAACCCTAAATAATTACATAACAAATCAGAGAGTGATGATTTCTGCTATGTTTTAATCTCTGATTGTCAATGATTTCCTGTAATGTTTTATTTCAAAAATGCTTTCTATTACACTCATTTCTTGAACTAGAAATACCTTATCTGATATGGTAGAATTTTATTCCATGCTACCCAGTCAAAACCACTTAAAATGTAAGGAAAAGTATAATCTAAATGAAACATAGTAATAGAAGAGCTTCTATTCTAACAACTCTCAAAATATTAAAAGGACACAGTAACAGAGTCATTAATGTTAGGAAAAACGGGATTTAAGTTCAGGAAGTTCCCTACTATAATAATTCTATAGGATTGCCATAAGCAGGAACTGAGGGTTTTCTGGTTTATGGAGATTCAAATTTTTCTTTCATAGGAAATTTTATAAATCTCATCAGTATGGTCTTGCTAGAATTATGTATCCCTAAGTGAGTAGCATCCTCCTCATTCGGGGAAAAAATCTACTGAGAATATCGAATAACAAAAATGTGTCTTTGCTTTTCCTTGCTAAGGAGAATGCTTTTACAGCGATGGCTATCCAGGAGTGTTGAAACAAGCTAATGCTCTGGTTTGGAGAGAAAGGAGCACCTGGTTTAAACTGGAGTGCTTGGGTATTTCACCTGTCACCCCAGGGCTTTGTATTTTCTCCAGGAGAAGACGAGGAAGACTTTCCCCACAGGTACGGTCATCAAGCCAGGCTTAAAAAGGCAACTCAAAATACAGCTAGGTTATTTTTCAAAGGGCTCAGTTAACCCTAGTTCCAATTCCCTTCAAAAGCCACCCTGTAAGATGCCTTTCCTTCAGGTAAGCTCAAGAGTTTCACATGGAGAAGGCCAAAGTGGCTGCCACGGTGCAGACATCAGGCTCACCTGACTACGATGCCTGTGGTTTTACACTGCGGTCAGCATGGGAACAGGGGTGTCGAGTGACCCCACAACTGAGGCTGCATGGGCGGCTCTTTTCCTCCTGTTGTCCGTGTGGAAGGAGAGTGCTTCAGAGATGACAAAGAACAGGAAAACAAAAATTCACACAAAGGAAAAGAAAAGTCCCCTCACTAAACCTTTTTATAGCATGGAACAGTGAGGCACATCACACACTTAATCCTAAAAGCAACTAATACATCAGGCTGCAAACTGGCTACAGACTGCTCTGCAAAGTGCTAAATGTAAGAACAAACATCCTGGGAAGACAAACTGGAGAGAGGCTGGCTGTGGACCAGATCCTGACGTAGAGGAAAGAGCTTGTGTCCTACTATACTACTGACGAAAATCAAATGAGGGCCAATCAGAGAAGAGAAATTTTGGATTTCTGTTCATAATGGTTTAATAGATTAATCCTTTTCCTTCTTCCCTCAGACCAAAAAAAAAAAAAACAAACCTATAGACAAGTCAAAATCACAAAAATTTGAAGATCAAGAAAAGCAAACATATGTTCACAACCTCTGAATGTTTAGAATGCCAAGATCAAGACATTTTTTTCACAACAAAACTTTCAAAAAGTAGTTAGAAAAGGCAGAGGAGCTTCTGTGTAGACATCTACCTGCTTTTGTCATCACCTTACAGGAAAACAATAAAGTCAGTATTTTATCTTACCCTTTCTACTTCATGGCATTTTTTCAGGGCATCCCCATATTTCCCCAAACGCTGATAAGCTGAAATACATTCTGTCTGAAACCACATACACTGCATTTCATTTAGATTTTCCATGGCAGATGTTCCTTCCTGAAATGGAAGCAATAGTAACTGTAAGAAGCAAATAATAAAATAGATACTAAAAATCTCTTTTTCTCCTTTACAACTAGATACAAGTACTACTATGACACTAAACAGGAGTTAACAAATAGAATAAATCAAAAACTACTGCTACAAAATTGCTGTTAGGTGCCATCAAGTTAATACTGACTCACAGTATGCAAGACAGAACGAAACACTGCCTGGTTCCGCGCCATCCGCACAATTACTATGTTTGAGCCCATTGCTGCTGCCACTGTGCCAATTCATCTCATCGGGGGATCTCCCTCTTTTTCATTGACCTTCCACATTACCAAGCATAATGTCATTCTCCAGGGACTGGTCCTTCCTGATACCATGTCTGAAGTATGAGAGACAAAGTCTAACCATCCTGACTTCTAAGGAGCATTCTGACTTTATTATCATAGAATTCTTTATTAAATACAACTATCAAAGGAGCTCTGGTAGCGTAGTGGTTACGACTCGGGCTGTGAACCGCAAGGTCAGCAGTTCGAAACTACCAGCTGCTCCGCGGGAGAAAGATGAGGCTTTCTACTCCCGTAAAGATTTACACCCTCGGAAACCCTGTACAGGGTCGCTATGAGTCGGTTCCGACTCCACAGCACATAACAACAACAACAACATCAAAATATGAAGCTATTGTTTCTTCACACATCCTCCATTTAAGTCTACACATAGCTGAGGACAGTGTTTCCATTTCTCTAACCCTCCCCTGAAGATTGCTACCCCTTCTGATGCGTTGTAAAGTACCATCAAGTCAGTTCTGACTCCTAGCGACCCTGTATAGGGTTTCTAAGGAGCAGCTGGTGGGTTTGAACTGCTGACCCTGAGGTTCAAGAAGACCTTATGATCCAGTGCTTTACCCTACAGCGCAACAATAGGATTCCCTTCTTGATTTACACATCAAAACATCAGTTTTCACATCCAAGAGGGACTTTTTAATGTTCTTTGCATTCTGGAAACAAAACGTCTGAAGAGGTAAGATAAGGGCTTGAGGGTGGGTGGGATGAGGTTTTCTGATAGAATTCTCATAGAACAGCCTTTGCTGTCCTTAAAGATGAGCAAGTACACTGTCATGATGGGGAAAAAATTTGGAACAACTTTCTCTGGATGAATGGAATGTATTTATTCTTCATGCTTGCCTATAATTTTCTAAGTTTTTGATAATCACATATTTTTATAAGTCGACATTACTTTTTCCAAAAATTTACCAAATAGCACTATTCAACTTGTGTTGGCAACTTTGTACAAAAACTCTTAACTACAAGAAATTTGCAAGAAGGAAATTGTTGTTGTGATGTGCCATGGAGTTGGTTCTGACTCATAGTGATCCTGAACAGGGTTTCCAGGGCTGTAAATCTTTACGGGAGCAGAAAGCCTAACCTTTCTCCCGTGGAACAGCTGGTAGTTTTGAACTGCCAACCTTGAGGATAAGCACTTCATTAAATGACCACTCAGGATCATTAGCTATGCCTCCTCTGGCTCACAATGCTCTCTCTCCACTACATGGCTCAGCCGTCCCTGGTCACTAAGCCAGTACCGACACAATGAACTAGCTCTCCCCACATAGGATGGCAACCTGTCCAGAGTGAATGCCCAGAGGCAATTATGATGAACAAGCTGAGCCACAGATTTGGGGGACTACCCTCCCTAGATAGCCAACTACTTTCATTCTGCTCATTCTATGATGGCTTCTTTTAGACACACGTCAGTTGCTGCTGTTTTGTTTTATGATCACTGGATTTGTTTAACCTAAGTAGTTTTGTATATTCATTTCAAATTGTACTTTACTTGTACTCTTCTTACCTTGACTTTCCAAGCTGTACTTTTTTAAAACATGACTGCTTTTATGTCTGTTTCTTGTACTCTCTTCTCATCTTCAAAACTGTGATATAGTAGAGATGGCATTGAAGAGTTTGAGCCCTGGCATTACTTACAATGTGGCCAAAGATGAATCTAAATTCACTTCTTCAGCGTTTCACTTATGTTGCACTTTTTTTTAAAAACACACTCAGTTGCCTTTGAGTCAACTCTGACTCACAGTAACCCATGTGTTGCAGAGGAGAACTGTGTTCCACAGGCTTTCATGGCCATGACCTTTTGGAAACAGATCAGGTCTTCCTTCCAAGGCACCTCTACGTAGATTTGAACTGCCAACCTTTTGCTTTTCGAACTGTTGGCCATGAGATTAGCAGTCTGATTCGTAACCACGCTACCAAAGTTCCATATGTATATGTACATATGTATGTATGTATGTATGTGTGTGTATATATATATATATATATATATAGAGAGAGAGAGAGAGAGAGAGCTCTGGTAGAATGTTGTTGTTGTTGTTAAGTGCCATCAAGTCGGTTCCGACCCATAGCGACCCTGTACAGGGTTTCCAAGGGTGTAAATCTTTACGGGAGTAGAAAGCCTCATCTTTCTCCCACGGAGTGGCTGGTAGTTTCGAACCACTGACCTTAAGGTTCGCAGCCCAGTTCGTAACCACTACGCTACCAGAGTGGTTACGAATTGGGCTCCAAACCTTAAGGCAAGCAGTTCAAAACTACCAGCTGTTCCAAGGGAGAAAGATGAGGCTTTCTGCTCCCGTAAAGATTTACATCCTCGGAAACCCTGTACAGGGTCGCTATGGGTTGGAACCGACTCAACGTCACTTAACAACATACATATATACACACACATAGTATTTGTCAAATACTTAGTAATGTTGAGCCTCCTTAATTTTTGCCAATTTCACGGGTATAAAATGCTCTTAATGTTTTAATTAACATTTCCCTGATTCCTAATGAAGAAATCTTTTTTGACCATTCTATTTTTCACATCTATGAATAACTATTCATATTCTTTGCCCCCATGTCTTCTTTTCTTATTGAGTTGTGATTTCTGTCGTTTTGTATTAGGTCCCTGGGTGGCAGAATCAGTTTCCACTCAGCTACTAACCTAAAGGTTAGCAGTACAAACCCATTCATCAGCCCCATGGAAGAAAGGCCTGATGATCTGCTTCTATAAAGTTTAGACAAGACAGCCTATGGAGCAGTTCGACTCTGTAACATCGGGAGTTGCCATTAGTCAGAATCAACTTGAAAGCAATGGGTTTGACTTTTTGGTATGTGTTTATGTAATTGTATGACATCACCCTGTTGTTCTGACTCATACCAACCTTACGCATAACAGAACACAACCCCGCCCAGTCCTGCGTCATTTTCACAATTAGCAGCCACTGTGTCACTCCATTTCATCAATGGTCTTCTTCCTTTTCACTGACCCTCTACATCATACCCAAGTATGATGTGCAAAGTAAAAGCTCACACTATTTTGTGGTTTCTGTATTATAAGGATGTTTCCAAAAACATCCAACTACAGAACGATCTGGTTAACATTTTAAGGAAAGTAGTCTATATTAATCACAGAGCACAGAAGTAACAAGATTTCATACTAAGTGACTTAATGTGCAAACACCCGCCCTAAAGCCCTTGATATATAATGTACACTTGGAGATAAAAATTCATTCCAAGATACCTTAATTAAAACTTGGAAATCACATTTGCAAACATATTCCCTTATAATGCCTCAATGGCATGTTCAATGTGCACTATATAACCATTGAAGTGAATTATTTATAAATCTCTATAAATCCTGTTTGTTGTCATTTGGGTTGGAAATACTTCCTCCAGGTCAATGATTTATGGTCACTTTTTGCTATCAACACATGTTATTTTAATATAGTCAAGTGCAATAAATTTATTCTTTTAACTTTGTACATTTGGTGTCTTAAACCTCCTAGGAGGTTTAAAGAAAAAAAAAAATCTTTATTACCTCAGAGCCTAAAGAAAAAGAAAAAGAAGTATTTCCTACTTCAGAGCCCTAAAGTATACTCCTATACTTTCTTCTGGAGTCTTGGTGTGGCGCTATAGAGTAAGCAATTGACTACTAACCACAAGGTCAGCAGTTCAAACCCATCAGTCTCACTCCTTAGAAACCTTATACAGGGTTGCTGTAAATTGAAATTGACTTGATCCCACTTAACAACAATATACTTTCTTCTAAAAATGTGAAGTTTGCTCTTTCAACAAAACAAACTAACTGACCCAGCAATAATATCTCTGGTTATATCTAAAATTTCTAAATATGTGTAAGCTGTTTCCACTTTCTATTCTACGTACATAGGAGCTCGGGTAGCATCTGGTAGCATACTGGTTACGAATCGGGCTGCAAACCTTAAGGTCAGCAGTTCGAAACTACCAGCTGTTCCGTAGGAGAAAGATGAGGCTTTCTGCTCCTGTAATGATTTACAGCCTCGGAAAACTATGAGTCACTTCCGACTCCACAGCACATAACCACCACCACCATTCTTAGTACATATTTAACCATAAATATGTATTGATTTTATGATAGAGCGGTCTATTTGAAAAAGGACAGGAAAGAAAAAAGAAGAAATAGACATTTAGTTCAACAACTTAACAGAACTTAAATTCTAGAATGCGATAAACTAGTCATCCATAGAAGCTAGTTCGACATGGCAAGAACTCTGTGAGCAACCTAAAATAAGACACTACAAAAGAAATAGCATTAAAAAACAATAAAAGTTATTACTGAACAAAAAGAAGCCACCGAGTATTAACAATCATTCCTTCTCTAGAAGTAACCCAGTTTCAATGACTGTAGACCTGAGAATTCAAAGACACAACTTTTTTGCACCATTGAAAAAATTCTGAAGAGCCAAGCCATCTCTATAACTTCTGCTGCAGCTACATCCCCACTCAATTTTTAACTCAGCCTAGTTCTTCTCCTTCTATTCTCTTACAGTTACATTCCAAAGAGTCTGATCCAATAACCTCCTACACTAAGTCTGTGTAACTCAGTTTCCCAGGACAAGTAACACAAGACAAGTGATACATTACTTATTTTTTGACAAATATTTCTCCCACATTAATGAAAGTATGATGGGAAATATAGTCAGTCTGTGTTCCAAAAGGAAATGACAAAGTTCATAAGCATATGCTACATGTATCATACATCCCTTTTGACATCTAAGAACAGATATTACATAAACAATTGCATGTATGATTTTAGAGGTTACATCCATACTGGAGATATGAATCTAGTGTGGTATTTAAGACATGATACTAGATTAATCATCTAGATGTCATTATATTCATTCAGCTCATAATGACCTTACGTTTGTCACCTTGCTCCCTATGGTTTTCAATAACTGAGTTTTTGGAAGTAGATTACCAGTCCTTTTTTGTGAACTCAAACCTTCAAGCTTTTGGTTACCAACTAAATGTCTACCATTTGCACTACCTGGGGACTATGACACTAGGTTACATTCCCTAATATTTGAGTGTAGTTAGTGCTGTATGATAAACACTGGACTTCAAACTCCAAGGTAAGCAGTTCAAACCCACTAGCTTCTCTATGGGAAATAGATGAGGCTTTCTGATCTTTGACAGATTTGTAGCCTTAGAACTCCTATAAAATGTCATTATAAGTCAGAATTGACTTGATGGCAGTGACTTTGAAGGTATCGGAGCCCAGTGGTGCAGTGGTGAAATACTTGGATGTGATGTGAAAAGTTGGTGAGGGAAACCAGAAGAGTCTGTTTCCAAAAAGATCGGCATCCTGGAAAATCCTATGGAGTAGTCTATACTCTGAATTAGAATGAACTCAAGGGTTTGTTTTGGTTTAGAAATGAGTAGTGTCAAGATTTAAATCTAAATTACACCAGTAATTAGAGATCAAGGAGATGAAAAAGAACTAGGAAAGGAGATGAGAAATTAAGATATTAATGCACATCTGTGCCTCAGCAACTTTAATAAATACCAAGGATATTCACATATTATACACAAGGGAAAAGTGTATCAATTACAGCATTTCTTTTTTGTAACATAGACTTTAAAGAAAATGACTCAATTATCCATCAACATGAGGACAAGTAAATGATGGTAAAATTATTTATAGCAGTTAGAATATAGCAGTTTGTATTAAAATGGATAAATCTCAAAAACAAAATGTTGAGCAAAATCAGCAGGCATCACCATCATACATAAAATGTGATACCACTGATCTGAACTTTAAAATAATATTATAAACAATGCTACATATTGGTTATGGGCTAGTGCTTGCTAGCTGCCATCAAGTTGATTTTTAATTCACAGGAACACCTATATAATAATAGTATAGATTGCATGTGGGTACACTGCATTCTACAGCGTAGAGGGAGGGATGGAAAAAGACTATATATCACTGTTTGCTGTATTCTTTGACACTACTGTGAATATTTGGAATACTTCATATAAGAAGATTCCTTCCTGTCTTCCATCTTCCTGTTATAAATCACTTAACATATCAATAAAATAGATTTTTGAAATGTCAAAAAAAAAAAAAAGTTATTACTGAGATAAGAATGGAGAATGTAAGCAGAATTTTACATGTAAGATCTGAACTATGGCATATTGCTGACTTGTTATCAAAATATTTTGCTATTACTGAGTCTTGGTGGATGCTGTAGAAAAACCACTGGAATGCAAGGTTGGTTTGAACCACAAACAAGACTGGCAGTTCAAACTCACCAGCCGCTCCTCGGAAACCCTATACAGGGTCACAGTGAGTCAAAACTCAACTGCACTTAACAGCAACATTATTAACTAGGCCCCATCAGACACAAAAAAAGAATCCATACTTAGGATATGAATTAAATTTAAAAATTTTATATATATATATATACATATATGTTAATTCTTACGAGTTTTAGTAACAAATTGCACAAATCATCATAGAACTGAAGTTGCATTTTACTAACTCAGACAATTACATGTTAATGCATGTTTCCTACCCTCGTGAACTTGGAGCACATTTCTTCTGCTTCTTTCACCATATCTGCTCGAAGCATATATTTTGCACATTTAGAATTGATGAATCTATCAGCTGTGTCCAAGGACTGTGCTTCATCCATCCACTTGGCAGCTTCTTTGAGATTACCTATGTGCTACAAAGGATGAAAGCATGAAAGAAGCCACAGTTTATGATCAAGACAATATGGGCACCATATAAGAAAAAAACTTATAAAGATGAATTGAAATATGGTTTAAGACTTCTAACGATTAACAATGATTATGCCAACTACACAACATAAAAACCTTAGTTTTATTAAAATATTAGAAGTACATTATCAGTATACTCTGGAGATAATTGCTCCACAGAAAAACTGCCAACGGTTGGTTCTTAAATCGGCTGAATTCTTCATATATTTCAAAACATTCCTAAGATTTTACCTTGTAAATTCTTGCTTTCATATAGAATAACTCTATTAGAGTTGGAGTACTAGCAATTGCAACATTGGTATAATCCAGAGCCAAAGAATATTGTCCAAGCTTATCAAAGTGCTGTGCCAGGAAATATCGCACCCAGAGTAGTGTTGTTGGGGGTTCCTTCTCCCCATTCTCTGTAATCAGACATATATAAAATTATCATATGAAAGAAGGCAAGTCACAGATTCCCCCACCCCATTTCATAATAAAATTAATAATGTAGTAAAAATAAAAAACTAGTAAAAATCGTAATTTCAACTGAAAGAAGTTTGACTTCCTGCCATTAAGTTCAGAATGTGGCAATCAAGCAAATAAACAATACTCTACTTTGACAAGGTTCTAACCCCTATTCCACTCCAAAGAAACAATGCCTGGGGAAGAAGGCGAAATCAATCTAGTTTTGTGAATTATCAGGCTGCGAACAGTCAAGGAAAAAGTCCAGGAAAAGTCAAGGGAAAAAACGTGAAGAGAGACCCTTAACCATCAATGAAGACTTTAGCAGAGGTAAGAACTACCAGTGTTTAGCATTTTCAAGGCCTCCACACTAAATTAGGGAAACTCCAAGTGGAAAGTTTAACTGTGAAATTCAAAGTTGACCCACAGGAAGAAGATGCACCCTGACTATGTGACAAAAATCTATGAAGACCCCAAATGATGTGATCTGATGTGACCAGGCCTGATTTCATATGATTACCTGTATGTTGTAAATCCTCACTCTGTGGTGTTAAATAGGAAGCTCTGGTAAGTTAGTGGTTATGAGTTGGGCTGCTAACCTCCAGGTCAAGAGTTTGAAACTGCCTGCCATTCTGTGGGAGAAAGATGAGGCTTTCTTTCTCATAGAATTCCAGCCTCTGAAATTTATACAGGGTCACTATGAGTCGGAACCGAACCCACAGCACACTACCACCACCACCATGTTCAATAGGCCACATATAATGTACAGGTTTAGGCTGTCTGGAGTCATTCTTTTTATATTTAAAGAAGAAATCAGTGAGTAGAGCGCTGAGTGATCTACTGCCATCAAGACAGAAGATCCAGGAGTGGGGGTGAGCATTGTTTGGACCTGAGGTTCCTACACTTTGTAGCTCCTAGATCCCGGGCAAAATGGATGTCATGATGTAGGGAGATCTCTAAGGAAAGTGAAGACGACGGGACCTATAGATGCTGATGGGAGACATGGACTTTTCCCAGAGTTAACAAAGATACACCTTTCCCCAGAGTCAGCACTGTAAATGTGGAGTTCTAGCCTCCTAAGTTTAGAGAGAAAAAAAGAGCTCGTTGTTAAAGCAATCCACCTGTGCTGTATTTGTTATAGTAGCATTAGATACACTTTGAAAATGTTGTACCTTGCGTAGTCACTGCACCTTTTAGCTTTGGCCTGAGATCATACATAATCCAGAGGCTCTAAACATACTTCACCAATCGGTAGTAGAATTATCCCACCCAGTCCTGCCCATATAAGCCCAATCATCACTGCCTTGATCCTCTGAAGATGAAAATAAATGCTTGGTGGTACAAAAAAAAAAAAAAAAAATCTATGAAGAAAGTGCAGCCAGTTGAGGTCCTCCTAACGATGAGCTCTATCCAACTCCCCACTCTAAAGCTACAATAAAGAGAGAAATACCATGCCCTCAAAATGGATTTCAGAAGAGAAACAAGCATATGTAAAATAAGATGAAAGGGCACAAAAGGTGAATTTACCCACCCTACATGAGAACATGCTGGAGCACCATCAGGGCTCCTTACTTTTGCAGAACCACTTCTAAATTCATGGACCCTAGTAATATACATGGAGTCCTGGTGAGGCGCTGTGGGTTAATGCACCAGACTGCAAAGCCCTTGGAACTGCAAGGTCAGCAGTTCAAGATCACCCGCTGCACATCGGAAATCCTATACAGGGTCGCTATGGGTCGGAATTGACTCAATGGCATTTAACAACAACAATACATGAGAACAAACAGAAGGTGTCTGTGACTAACTGCCCCAATGACATGACAATAACGTAAGCACAGTGGTGGTGGTGGTTATGTGCCATGGAGTCGGTTCCTACTCACAGTGACTCAGTATAGGGTTTCCAAGGTTGTAAATCTTTACGGGAGCAGAAAGCCTCATCTGTCTCTCATGGAACAGCTGGTAGTTTTGAACTGCTGAGCTTGAGATTAGCAGCCTGAGTCGTAAACACTATACTACCAGAGCTCCTATGTAAACACAGTATAGCACATAAATGAAAAAACCCTTCAGTAAATGTTCCTATTACATAAATCGCACTTCAGGAAACCAGTTTATGTTTTTATAAGAATTCCAGATAATAAATACATGTGAAATGATGATAGGAATGAAATAACAGATCCACTCAATGATCACCAATAGTTGCTACAATTATTGGGTGAGAAGTTGATGATGTCTGACTGATGGAAAGCCAGGTGTGTAAGAGGAGAACCGTACTCTTTAGGGTTTTCAGTAGCTGATTTTTCAAAAGTAGATTGCCCCAGTGCTTCTTCCAAGGTGCCTCTGGGTAGAGCTGAACCTCCAAGCTTTCAGTTGGTAACCAAGCCTACTAACTATCTGCACCACCTAGGGGACTTCCTAAATTAAGGAAATTCAAAGGTGAACATTTAATTTGAAATTCAAAGTTGGAGACCTGGTGTGGTGTTGTTGGATAAGCAAAGGACTACTAACCGAAAGGTCGGCAGTTCAAACCCAACAACTGCTCCTAGGAAACACTATACAGGACCACTGGACCTAAAGCTAATCAAACCTATAAATCTTTAAAGTTTACAAGAAACATGGATAGTGAAAAATGTTAAATGATACCATGAAAAAGCAATCAGCCAAATCCAGAATATGTGGTACTCCACAATAAAATGAATGACTCTGGCACTGTGGGTTAATGCGCTGGACTGCAATGTCCATTTGAACTGCAAGGTCGGCAGTGCAAGCTCACCAGCCACTCCTTGGAAACCCTATACAAGGTCACCATGGGTAGGAACCAACTCAACAGCACTTAACAACAACAACATAACAAATGGCATTTTTATGAGGGGACGGGAGGTTAGTATTCTAGATTAAAAGAACATTAGAGACATCAAAGGAGCTCTGGTAGCATAGGGGTTACGAGTCGGGCTGCTAACCTCATGGTCAGCAGCAGTTCCGCGGGCAAAAGATGAGGCTTTCTGCTCCAGTAAAGATTTACCACCTCGGAAACCCTATACAGGGTCCCTTATGAGTTGGAATCAACTCCACGGCACACCACCACCACCATGACCATAGACATATCAAATGCAGTGGGACCTTAATTGGCTCCAAATTCAAATAAGCCATCTCTACAAAAACATTCAGAGTCCTGGTGTGGCACTGTAGGTTAATGCGCCACACTGCAAAGCCATTTGAACTGCAAGATCTGCAGTTCAAGCTCACCACCTGCTCCTAGGAAGCCCTATACAGGGTCACTATGGGTCAAAACTGACTCAACGGCACTTAACAACAACACAAAGACATTGTTTGAGCTAACTGGGGAAATTTGAACACTAAGTATTTTTGAAGACATGATATTAGAGTGTATTTTGATTAAGATTTGTCTTAGATTAACCATTGAGGCTACTCTTTCTGTTAAAGACGCATACTTAGATATTTACATATGAAACAGTATGTCTAGAATTTGTTTTTTAAATGTTCCAGAAAAATGAGAGGATAGAAGATACTTCAAATAAGACAGGCAAATGTTGACTATAACAGAAGTTGGGTGATAATGGCACAAGAGTTCATTTTAATACTTATTTCTGTGTAAGCTATTTAAGACTTATTATAATTAATTACATAATTAGAATTTAACTATATTTATTCTAATTATTCTACTTGTATAATTATTTTAATTATAATTATAAGGTATTTAAAACATAAAAGTAAAAATATCCCGACATCTTAACTATTTTGAGTATTGTATTTTTTTTTAAAAAAACTTTTTGTGAACTTAGTGAATCAGGTTTACAGACAAAATCATCAGTATTATATTCAACAAATTATACTTTGTTTCATCTTAATGACTGCAATCCCCTCCATGCAATACCAGCTATCTCACTTCCTCCCTATGGTTCCTAGTTCCATTCCAACCCCCTACCCATCCCTTCTCAACTTTGTCCTTACGTAAGTGTTGCCCGTTTGATCTTGAATTGACCATTCCATGCTGAGCATACGTTATTAATGCTGTAATCCCCCTATATACTCATTTACTGTTGTTGTTAAATGCTGTCAAATTGATTCCGACTCATGGGGACCCTGTATAGGGTTTGCAAGAAGCGGATGGTAAATTTGAATCGCTGACCTTGTGTTTCAAACCAGCCTTGCCATCCAGTGCTTTATCCCACAGAGCCACACCAGACTCCACTTATGTCCTGCTTGGCTGAAAACTGGGTCTCAAAGGCAAGCTCCGTTCCAGACCTGAAGGGTAGTCAAGGGCCACAGCCTCAGGTGCCTCCAGTCTCTTTCTGACAAGACAGACTGATTTTTTTTTCATATATATAATTTTGAGTTCTGTTTCACATTTTCTCCTACTCTATCCAGGACTCACTGCCACTAAATCATTTCTAGTTCCTAGTGACCCTATGGGACAGAGCAGAACTGCCTTACAAGGTTAGACAGTTTCCAAGGCTGCACTTCTTTAAGGAGGTTGACTGCCACATTGTTCTCCTGAAAAGTGGCTGGTGGGTTTGAACTGCTGACCTTTCAGTTTGTAGCTGAGGGCTCTAGCCACTGCACTACCAGGACTCCTTATGAACTACCTATATGGGGTCAAATTGACAAGAGTAACTCAAAAGGTTAGAGTTTGTGTTACTGAAGGAGAAGATCTCAGTAGGGAAGGGCGAGGATGGTTACACAATTGAAAGAATACAATGTCACTATATGGTATGTGTAGAAAGTATTGAATTGACATATGTTTTGCTGTGTATAGTATCAAAAAACAATAATTCTAACAAAAAAATCTATGTGATCCTGGCCAAAGCCTCAACCTCTCAAGTCTGTTTCTTACGTTAAGATGAGAGTTAACTCCCACCCCACAAGTCACGGAAAAATGCATATTAAATAAGAGTGAAAATAAACTCATTTCATTCATTCAAAAGCTATTTAGTTAATAGCTAACCATGTCCCATGCATATAATAAACGTTGTTGTTGTTATAAGTGCTGTCAAGTTGATTCCGACTCATAGCGACCCTGTACAGGGTTTCCAAGGCTGTAACTCTTTACAAGAGAAGAAAGCCTCATCTTTCTCCCACGGAACGGCAGGTAGTTTTGAACTGCCGACCTTAAGGTTTGCAGCCCGATTCGTAACCACTACATTACCAGAGCTCCTCATATAATATATAATAAACGTAAAATAATATTAATGGTAAGAGATTAAAAATGAATTTATATTCTAAATTCCAATTTAACCTAATTTAAACTTACCATAAGGGTTAAAAAGATCACACGTTTTCAGAGAGGCTTCATAATTAATAACAAGTTCCTGGATTATAGATACCTGTTTTAAAAAAAATAGTTTATAATTTAAAATATTTTATTTAAGGTATTTATACAATTGTAGTTAAAACATTTAGATTTGGGAAACAGTGTACTGCTTATTTCAGAACTACTTATTAATGAAGTTATTGAGGCCTTTGCTTCCCCCCACCCCCAACACAAACATTTTCATTGCTGGGGGAAAGTGAGGAAAAACAGAAAGAATATACTACTATCTTTAATTTTAATGTTTTTCATTTCCATAAACAGTTTGAGGTTTTAAAGGACAAAATATCAGTAGGTACTAAAAATTTTGCTTAATACAGTAAACACACGAATATAAATAATTTGTCTTTTGTTTCCCACTGTTAATATTGTTAAGTTACAGCCATTACACAGGTTCCTGAACAGATTAATTTTCTAGAAAGTCAATGAATACAAAGAAGTTAAATGAAATTATCCAAGCTACAAAATGAAGGGATAAAAGATAACATGAGGGTAAAAGATAACATGAGGTAAGGTGTTTTAATCAACAGATTTGCACATCAATGCTAAACTCAAGTAGAACTGAAATATTCTAAACTACATTGTAAAATAGCAGGCCCTTGAAAAGTACCAAAGGAAAATAAAAGTGACAAGCATTAGAAATGATAAGAAGGGGAAAAAACTGGGGTTATTTATATATTGTTAATTTTAAATGCTCAAATTGTGAACTTCAAAAAATTTTTATTTACTGAAATGAAAAAGGACATAAGTGAAGAAAAGTCATCAAAAAATTTTAATAAAAGTCCCTAATATAGTACTATTTTAATCAAGAGACTAAACTGATATTTATAAAAGCATTCTATGTGTAAAAAAAATTGATGTTGCTAATGCCAACAGGTAACAGGAACAAACCCCAGATAAGTGAACAATTATAATATGCAAATAACTGTTGCAAATATTTTATGTGTATTACAGTAGTAATAATAACCGACCACATGTGGCACTTATTCTAAGCACTGTTCTGAATACTTATAGCAACTTATTTCAAACAATCTTATGAGGTGCATATTATTAACAACTCCATTTTTCATACAAAGGAAAAACAAAAAAGCTGAAAGTACACAGTGGGGAGGAACGTATCTGCAAAGTTCAGCTTTTAACTATTCAGCTATACCAGACAGCAAATGAAACAATGGCACAATTATTACAAAAGGGTAATATGAGCAGAAATCAGTTTTAGTATACAAAACACCAAGTGGTATACCATCAGATCACATAAAATCAAGTCAATTCTACCTCCTGATGACCCCATGTGTGCAGAGTGGAACTGTTCCATAGGCTGATCCACAGACGCCTGTCCCCCAAAGCGCCTCGGGGTGGACTGGGACTACTAACCTTTACTAGCTGAGCACTTTACCCATCATTTCCACCACCCAGGGAGTCGCTTGGAAAATATGTCAAGTACAGGTGTGGTGCTTTAAGAGAAGCACTAGACTGCTAATCACAAGGTCAGCAGTCTAGTGCTTATACAGAGTCACTAATCAGTGCTATACAGGGTAACTAGTGAGTCGGCAATGACTCTAAAACACTTAACAACAACATCAAAATTGAGAGTAGTACCCAAAAGCAAACCCATAGTCATCAAGTTGATTCTAAACCACAGTGGCCCCAAGGGACAAAATATAACTGTTCCTTTGGACCTTTAGATTTCCAAGGCTATCATATGTTGCAGTTACGAGTCCCAACACCTAACTCACAACCAGACAATGAAATCCAGACTTGGGTGTTGTTGTTAGGTGTCACTGCATCCTATAGCAACGTTACAGGGCAGAGTAGAGGACTTCATAAGGTTTTCTTGGCTGTGACCCAAATAGAAACACACCAATATGCTTCTCTGGGTGGGTTTGAACTGTCAACCTTTCAGTAGATCCTACACCTCAATTATTCTTTAAGACTTAGAAGATTACAAAACAATTATTTTAGACTTAATCTCCTTCAAATCCTTCCTCAGGAATTAAAATGCAACCACAAATTAAAAATAAGACAGTATTGGTTAGAAATAAGCAAATTTTTTTAAGTACTGATATGTAATCACAAAAATTTGTTGGCAGAAAAATTTCGTATCTTTTATTTCCAATTTACCATGATCTTTTTGAAGTCTCCTTATATATGTGGCCCAAACTATTTGAGAAGCACCTCCTATTCTTGTACATCTTTTACCAGTACACTAAAGACTGATAGCATAAACTAAATTTTCTGCAGTTAAATCCATTTCTCAAAATCACCTGGCAAAAAAATATTGAAAACTTAACTCTTAATAAGGCATCTATGCTCCTTGTGAAAATTCAGAGGTAGCCTGAGAAAACAAACTCTTAATGATGAGTGAAGTCAGTACTTAATATGGGAGAGAATTATAAAAGCAGTTATTCTGTTAAGCAATTAATTGTTTCTGACACTTTATTCCACCTTTCTTCCTCTTCAACCTTACCAAAAAAGAATGAGAGAGCAAACCTACAGATTATAAAAAATCCTTAGGAACCATATATCCAATAAGGTTCTAGTACCCAAAATACATATAAAACATCTACAATTCAACAACAAATAGACAAATAAGCCAGTCCAAATATATATATATAGATAGATAGATAGACAAAGGACATGAACAAACACTTCACCAAAGAAGCTATTTAAGGGATCAATGCTGTTGTTGTTAAATGTCATCGAGTTGATTTTAACCCATAGCGACCCTGTCTAGGGTTTCCAAGAAGCAACTGGTGAGCTTGAACCACCGACCTTACAGTTCAAACGACTTTACTATCTGATGCATTAGCCCACAGCGCCACTGTCATTAGCTGTTAGGAGAAATACAAACTAAAACTACAATGAGATACTACCTTAACCCTACTAGAATGGCAATGATCAAAAAAGCAGAGAATAACAAATGCTGGCAAGGACATGGTGAGATTAAAACCTTTTGATCAAAATTCATGGCTTGTGGAAATGCAGAATGAATGGTACTGCTGTTGTGGAAAACGTATAGTGATTCCTCAAAAAACTAACAATAGAACTACCCTATAACCCAATAACCCCATTCCATCCCTAAACCAAAAAGAGCCATTCACTGCCATCGAGTGGATTCCAACTCATAATAACCCTATAGGACAGAATAAAACTGCCCAAAAGGTTTCCAAGGTTGTAAATCTTTATGGAAACATACTGCCATTTCTTTCTCCCTCAGAGAGATTGATGGTTCAAATGGGCAATCTTTTGGTTAGTTTAAAAATTTAACTACTGTGCCACCAAGGCTTAAACAACAACATGACTATTCATTTTAGCACTATTCACAATAGCAAAATGGTGGAAACAACCTAAGTGCCCATCAACAAATGAAGAGATAAGCAAAATGTGGTAGCTACTATACAATGTAATACTACTCAGTCACAAAGACAATGAAGTCCTGCTACATGCTACAGCATGTATTATCGAAGTCATCATGCTAACTGAAATAAATTAATCACAAAAGGACAAATATTGTATGATCTCACTTATACAAATGTTAATAGGTAAATATAGAGTCCAATAGTTATTAGTTACCAGAGGAAGGAAATCGTTCACTAGAAAGTAGTAGTGTTTTTCTATGATGAAAGGAAAACTGGCATAGATAAAGGAAAATTATTACACAACTTAACTAATACAGCTGATTATCATTAACCAGTACACCAGAAAAAAAAAAGGCAAAATAACATATGTTATATAGAATTTTACAGCAACAACAAAGCCAAAAAATAAAGAGGTCCAAACAGCACCTCATAGGATTTTGTTTACTTGGTTCAATGGCTTGGCATCATAGTTTCATGGGACAATCCAGTCAACTGGCCTAAAACTATTTATAGAGTTTCAATTCTACCTCCTTGTTCAGGGAATAGTACATGAGGTCTTAAAAGCTTAAGAGTGGCCATCCAAGGTACAGCAATTGCTCTCTTATTTTCCTGGAGCAACCAGAAAAGGAGCACCAAGAATCAAAGAAGCTGGATGACAGATCTAATTGCCTCCTATGCTATGAGATCAGAAGAACTGGATGGTGCCCAGCTACCATTACTGAACATTTTGATAAGGACTCAATACATGGATCAAAAAAGAGGAAAACTGCACAACCGAATTTCAAATTCCTATAGAGCTCAGATATACTGGACCCATTCAGACTAGAAGAACCCATGAATCTACTGTCCTGAAAAGAGCACTGTGCCCTTTTAAAGAATTATCTCTATGAGATCAAGTTGATACCGTAACTCTAAAGCACAGAGAAATTCAGGGGACAGTGAGTCTAACTTAATAGGGATAATATAACCTGGGCAGAGATCCCAAGAATGATGATACAACAAGAAATATGTAACTAACATCACTGAATTGTACCGATAGAAATTGGTTTGCTATGTATACTTTTTCCTGGTGTGACGCAGCGTTGTGGGCTAATGTGTCAGAATGCAAAGTCGTTTGTACTGCAAGGTCGGTGGTTCAAGCTCAACAGCAGCGCCTTAGAAACCCTATACAGGGCCGCTATGGATCGGAATCGACTCAATGGCACTTAACAACAATAACAACATATACTTTTTCACCAGGAATAAAACTTAAAAAAAAAACAAAACAGATTTTGCTATATGATAAATAATCTAGAGAAATTATCAGTAGACATGTTTTCATAGGAATCACTACTTCTCAAAAACTTAATAGCAAAGCTACCAGATTCCAATAAGTAAACTACAGACATTAAAGAGCTAATTATAAGATTTTGAAAAATTACAAATGCAACTTTATACACACTAATTGGGTACTGGATATTATCAGTTGTAGCTCTTAGTTCTTTAGGAAACTTGCTATACCACAGGGAAAAAAGCACCAATGAATTATTTTTAAAAAATTGTATTCAGATTTTATTGTTCACAACTATCAGTAATTTATAAATTATTATGGGTAAAAGGTAGCTAAAGACAACACAATAGAAAATTAGAAATCTTTTAGCATTTCTAATAAAATCTTTTCCTTATCCACTATTAAGTTTTACAAACTCTGACCACAGAAAAGAACACTAGATTTTAGACCTTAATAAGAAGCAATACTAGAAATAAGAATAGTACTTGTTTCTATTAATTTTTAATTCTTTCTAAAATAAGACTAAGACTTATGTGCCTATTTTCTAATTTTTAAAACAACAATATCAGCACTTTAAGAATTATAGCAACAATTACCTTTATTAATTAAAATTAGTAATCAGTATTCTGTTGACCAAATGGCATTTTACTGTTATGCTAACTCAACTGACCATACTCTAAGAGTATGTACAAGTTGAAAATTCTATAACCATACTATAAAATAAGTTAATCATAGAACAGTTATATATAGACCTCCAATGACAATGTCAAATTTTAAATCCTACTAAAAAAGTATACCTATAAAACAACCTCTACAATTTTAGTCCTTCTACACATCCTTTATCCTCTAATAATTTTCTTAAATTGACATTTCCTTTAATATTACATATACTACATGCATACAATTTTAAAATTCATCTGTCATTACACTAAAAATAAGGTGAATAAAATTACTAGAACAAAGAAATTATTAACTTATAAAGTATTACTTACATGGAAATCTTTCTATAACTAAGTAAAGTATATCAAAACTGAATGAAGACTAAATTTTACCTTTTCTGTATTGTAATATAAAGATTTCAAAGTAGTAAACAAGGGTGGGCAGCCTTTACTGAAGTTAACCCTCAGGAACTTATCCATTAGTTCTCTAAATTTTTCACCTAGAAACAAAAGTGTACTTTGTTATACTTTTATCTATTAAAAAAAAAAATTCTCAAAGTAATTTTATAAATTAAACACCTGTCCAATTACCCCCTAACAAAAAGCTAAGTCAGCATTGTTTGTTACCTTAGAAAGTAAAGCATCAAGTATGTCTCATTTTTTCCTATGTCTATCCTTAAGAAATACTTCAAAAAACAGGCGAATAAAATGATCTTAAACAGAGAGTGAAAGAAATCTACTAAGCATTCTGAATTAGCCAATCACAAGTATGTTTCATCAACTCTCTCTGTCACAGATACAGTTCTTAGTATGTATAACTAAAAACCCCAAAACAACTCAAAAAGCACTCCGCCAAACACTGTGATCAAGTCATAGCAAAATATCTTTTTAAATACTATACCAATGTTTTCCAAATTAAGAAATGATTTACTTAAATCTTCACTCATTTCTAGAGTCCTGTATCAACAAGCACCTACTATGTGCCAGACACTGTTCTTGGTAGTGGGGATATAGTAACAATTAAAACCGGTTTTTCTTTTAACTCTGCCCTCATAGAATTTAGCATTCTAGTGGGTGTGACGCACAATAAGCCTATATGTTAAATATTAGACAGAATCCTGGAGCAATCTAATATTGTCAAGCCCTTAACCAAAATCTGGTTGTCAGTTTTTGAGAACAGAAAATATGGAATTATCTTAATACAAAAGTTTTTAAAAAGCTCAAACACTTGACAGTAAGGTTTTAAAAAAAAAACCCAAAATGGTTGTTTTGACTGTACAGAACAAAAATATGCATAGTCATATGATTAGATATCAAAATTTCAAAGGAAAATTTAAACTTTACTGAGGAGAGAAACATCAAATATTTTTAAAACACATTTATTAACTCAATTTACAAGGAAAATTGTTCCCAAATCAATCTCTTATCTTCCATTCAAAGCAGAGCTCTTTTGAAAAGTCACACTGCAAAGACTACATAAAACTTCACTCTGGGTTAAATGTACATTACTGTTGTTGTGCTACCAAGTCAGTTCAGACTCGTAGTGACCCTGTATAGGGTTTCCAAGGAACAGCTGGTGAGTGTGAACCGCCAACCTTGGGGTTCAAACCAAGCTTGGGGTCCAAGGCTTTATCCTACAGTGCCATACCAGGATGTCCTTAAAAATCAAAACCATTTCAGAGATGAAATCTTTCCAGCACATCCAATGACAGTGTTAGCAATACTGTGGTAGGAAAGAGATGTTGTTGGTTAGAGAACTGCCTCTCTGCCACTGACTGTGTGTGTGACCATGGCCAGTAACTTATCCACTCCAAAGTGTCAGCTCTGCCACTGTAAAATGAGGGTGACAACAGCATCACCAGCCAAGAGAGTGCTTATATTGCTTAAACAAAATGATGAGTACATAGCACCAAGTACAGGTGCTGGCACACAGAAACCACTCAATAAATACTGGCTCACATTATCTGCCAAATACTGAATTTCTATAGTTGAGATTCTATTTTCCATGCTCAGAAAACAAGCATTTTATTTTTATGGCAGAGGTTACTCTAACCTCCTCCTCTTGATCAACTTCTCAGTCTATTTAGACCCTAGTATCAGACTCAGTTTTGGAGTCCTGTTGTGGCGCTGTGGGTTAATGCACCACACTGCAAAGCCATTTGAACTTAAAAGGTCGGTGGTTCAAGCTCACCAGCTGCTCCTCGGAAACCCTAAACCGTCTCACTCTGAGTCGGAAGTGACTCGATGGCACTTCACAACAACAATCAGACTCAGTTTAAAAGACAAAACAATTTTCATGTATCCATGATAGTACAAAAGACTCTTCTTTCTCCCTTAAATGTTACTGGGACTGTGTAGCACTAAGAAAGAACATGGAAGTGATTTATGTGCTGGTTTAAGACTAATGGCCAAGAAATCAAGCTTAGTGAAAAGCAAAACAAGGTCACAAGCAGCAACAGATGTTACCATTTTGCTTGAGGAGAGAAAGGGGGAGGAGGGAGACCTATATGTGCACAGTGTGTTTCTAGAAGAATTCAATCAACAGGTAGCAATGGCTGTCTCTAAAAGAGTGACCCTGGTGGTCAGGAGCAGGGACAGGAGAAAAACTTCATTTATAAATCCCTTTAAACTTCAAATTGTATGAATGTACAAAAAGCTCACACCCAGTACTCAGCCACTCAGTCACACACCATATTCCACATTTACTTTTTACTTACAAACCATTTCAAAATCTTTTTCTTTAGATACAAGGAATACCCTTTCAGAGAAATGAATTATTTCTCTCTTCCCTATTTTTTTTTTAAAGTCTTTACCCTAAGAGAAATGTAAACCACTGATCATTATGTAACTGTTTAACGTTGTTGTTAAGTGTTGTAGAGTCCATTCCAACTCATAGATCCTGTATAGGGTTTCCAAGGAGCGGCTGGTGAGTTACATCTCACCAGGTTATCTGATTTCATAGATACTATCCTAATAACTTCTATTGGATTCACTTAGAAGTTGTCCCAATTTACGTTGCTAAATGAATCAGCATCAACAGCAAGATACAACTGTTTCTAATTCAGTCAAAATCTCTATTTAACAATGGAACAAAATGTGATTAGCATCATTATATTTCCTACTCTTATTCTAAAGAGCGCCGGTGGTACAGTGGTAATTGCTCAGTGCCTAAGAAAAGTCGGTGATTCGAACTCCCCAGCTGCTCCCCAGAAGAATGACATGGCAGTCTGCTTCTGTAAACAGTGACAACATTGGAAAGCCTATGTTCTACAGGAGTTCTATGAGTCAGAATCAACTCGACAGCAATGGGAGTGAGAAGTCTTACTCTGAATTATCTCCTTCCTTCCCGCCAACACTCAGTCAGCAAAAAATACAAGATCCTGATGAGTAATATTGTTGTTGTTGTCAGGTGCCATCAAGTCGAAACCGACTCATAGCGACCCCATGCACAGCAGAACAAAACAATGTCCGATCCTTGGCCAACCTCACTACTGCTGCCACACTTGAGTCCATCAATGATGCCACCTGGCCGATCCATCTCCTTGGGGGTCTTCCTCTTTTTCTCTGACCCTCCACCTTACCCAGCATGACATCCTTCTCCAGCGACTGTTCTCTCCGGACAATGTGTCCAAAGTAGGAGAGACGAAGCTTAGCCATCTTGGCCTCCAAGGAGCACTCTGGCTGAACTTCTTCCAAAACAGATCTATTGGTTCTTTTGGCAGTCCATGGTACTTTCAGTATTCTCCTCCAACACCACAACTCAAAGGCATAAATTCTTCTATGATGAGTAATATCAGATACTTTGAAAAGTTGCTTTATCACTGTATTGCATTCATAGAACTTGATAAATTTAGGGTTTGGGGAGTTTCACAGGACTTCTGTATTCAGTGCTCTGTAAGTCTTTTATCTGAAAAATAGCCTTTCTAAAAACTTTTACACCTTGCATTCTCAAGTACCATCACAGTTCTTGCTTTTGACAATGCTGAGACGCCTTTCATGTTGTACATAAGAAATATTTCCAGATGGGCAAGAACACCTTCGCAAAATATTCAACTTTTGCACAGATGAAATTAAATAAGCTTTGTAAATACATGCACTTAGAACCTCACAATGATCCTAACCTTCATGCCCATGCTGTTCCAGAGGGTCCGTGATGGTTCCCCTTTAACCTGCATCACACTTGATAACGAACAGAAGAGCTCCAGGCTATTTTCAGTGAAAATATATTTCCGCTATGTACTGAGAGCTTTTAGTAAACTTTGTTGACTATGGAAATAAATTTAGGGAACATGAATTGGATGCCCCATGTTTCAAAATGGAAAAATAAAAACAAAGTCTTGTTTATAATCTTAAAACTAAATGAGGTTTGTTTCTTTATGAGGGATAAAGCCCCAGACTTCAAAGAAAACCCCTATGCACATTATGAAATATGAAACATGTTGTGAGACTGAGAAAGAAGGAGCCAGACACAAAAGGCCATAAACTATATGATACCAGTTATATGAACTTCTTGCAAAAGGCAAATCCATAGATACAGCAAGTAGATTAGTGGTACTGAGGGAAGTGGGGAGTGACTAATGGGTAACGGGGGGTTTCTCCTTGGATGAAGAAATTTTTCTAAAATCAGATAATGGTGATAGCTGTACAACTGTATAAATACCACTGAACTATGCACACTTCCAGAAGATGTATTTTATGGTATATGAATTATATCTCAATAAACCTGTCATTTAAAAAATGGACAGAAACATGAGTATAAGCATCTTTCTTTTCATTAAATACTTTTACGAAAATGCTCCTCCTTGCACAGTATATGGAATGCTAAAAATTCACAATGCATACTATTAACAACAATAAGAAGTCCCATGGCAAAGAAACCTAACTGCTGTATTTGATCTAGTTTCCCAAATTTACTAGACTAAAGAGCATTCTAATTTACCACCACCCTACCTGCAGACCTGGTAGGCCTTAGTGTCCCCTGGAAAACACTAAGAAAATCTGCTGTTTCTAAAAGCCAAAACAAAACAAAGAGCATCAGAAGAACACGACTCATCAACTCAATGGAACTGAAATTCACTAGCAGAAAATGAGGAGCACTGGTGATGCAGTTCAAACTCACCAGCTGCTCCTCAGAAACCCTACACAGGGTCACTAAGAGTCGGATTCGACACAACAGCACTTAACAACAACAAAAAATGATGCAGTGCTTAAGCAACTGGCTGCTAACCTTAGAGGTTGGTGGTTTCAAGCCTATCAGCCACTCCCAAACAGAACAATGTGGCAGTCAGCTTCTGTTAATATTTCCAGCCTTGGAAATTTTATGGGGCCGTTCTACTCTGTCCTACAGGGTCTCTAGGTTAGAACTGACTCGAGGGCAGTGGGTAGAAAAATAATTTTTAATGAATTCATATCTACTGTTTAATCCAATCTAAGAAGTATTTCACATATTCTTAAGTGAGTCAACTATTTTTTTTTTAATTTCCATTAATCTTTTAATAAAAGAGCATTTCCATTATCAATGAAAACTTGTTAGAATGCCTCTCTCCCCAACATATAGATTTCTGAAGAGCTAATATACACTGTAACGTTTATCCAGCCCTATCCAACTCATTCATGAATGAGTTCAGCTAAAGGCAACAAGTTTTATCAAAGTCTTGAGCATAGTGTTGTGGGATAAAAGCAAATCAGAGAAACTCACTCCATAGGAAACCAATTTCTGTGAAGTACAAGAGCAGCTGTTCATTTGTCTCCTTTTTAGGGATATAGAACACCTGGAGCGGTAAGGAGCAACAACTGTATAATAAAGACCAAAGTTCAGGGCAGTGGGCGACTCAGGAATGGTGATGTTCCTGATCTGAAACTCAGTGGTGGGCACAACAGCTCACCTCTTTCTCTGAATTTATCTCAAAAAAGAAGGTATAAAACTTCTACCACTTAATGTTGATGTTGTTGCTAAGTGCCACTGAGTTAGTTCCAACCCATAGTGACTCTGTATAAGGTTCCCAGGGAGCAGCTGGTGAGCTTGAACCGCCGAACTTGAGATTCAAACTGACATTGCAGTCCGGCGCATTAACCCACAGGGTCACTACCACTTACATCACAATAAAATTTCTGTCATAATTCTAGGGAGAATGATTTACCTTTTAAGTATGTTGCTTTCTAACTCACATAAGAATATTTTATAAAGATGATTTCTAATACTCAAAACCAACAGATAGCTATACACTGAACAAGTGTAATACTTATTAACATATGCATAATAAAACTGATAACTGATCATCCCCACCCTCTACATTGATATAGATGCAAACTCTAACCAGAAACAAATAATTAAATTATAAATGGCATCGAGTAATTTCAACAAATAAATTAGTAGTGTTACACATGTTATTCTAATATTACCTGGGGCAAGATTCAAAGGCAATCTTCTAGGTGAAATTGCTCTTGGATGCAGCTTACTAATTTCTTCATAAACTTGAAGCCTGTCTTCTAAAGTGCCTATCATCAGTAAATATGTGAGAGATACATAGCATCAAAACTTTATGTACAATAAAACTTCAACAAATTTAAAATTACTTAAGTTGCAAATAAAAATTGCATTATATTTTAAATGTTCTCAATTATTATTATGAATGTCATTAAAAGCTCTGTGGTGGTAAAGTATGATACCCAGTAAATCATAATCTGCAGAGAAACCCTAAACAACTTTCATTTCAACAGATTCTACAGCCAAATCAAGACATACGCACATAAGACACAAAGACTCAAGATAAAGTGCACTTCTCTTACATTCCAAATCACACAACAAAAAGGAAAAAAGAAAATGATCCTTTGCAACAAATCTTAAATAAATACGCTAAACCAGTGAAGCCTACACATGTCCCTAACAAACCTACTAGCTTAAAGAAGCAGCAGTTTCAGAATCACAAATGCAAATGTTTTATATTTAAAATATAAACTAAATTTATACGGTAGCTTTGATACTTAAAAATCTTCAATTAAACATCTGATTAAAGTACCCAATTAGCCCAGACTGATAAATGTTTCTCTCAAATATTATGATGTAACATATACTTCTATCAGAGTATTGAATCTTCCCTCCCAAAATCACCCTAATTTTATAGTATCACACAGAGTGTTCATATAAAAGTTATGCTACTATACAACAATAATTTGCAGAATGAGCTCTGGGTCTAATTTCTTATTCTAAAGAAATATCCTGCATCATTTATAAAAATGTATTTACATGCATTATCTTATAGTCACAAGAAATTAAACAAGAATTTTATTTCAGAATACAGAAATATAATCATAAGAATAGCTCCTTTGGTGCCAGCAATCAATCTCCACAGGAAATGTGGTGTTTAGAATAAAGACTGTCATTATTAACATTGTACTTTTTAAGTTTGATTTCATTTAGACTCCTTCCTTCCCCCAATAATGTTTTGGAGCTCCAATGTGGTTAGATTTGAAAAACTAGTATATGTGAAAAATTATTTTTATACTGTGTTACAATTTGGAGACTTCATTAACAACCCCTATATTAAAATTTGGGGCCTTGGTGTGGCACTACGAGTTAATGCTCTGGACCTTCAAGGTCAGTTTGATCTGCAAAGTCAGCAGCTCAAGTTCAACAGTCATTCCTCAGAAACCCTATACAGGGTCATTATGAGTCGGAGTCGACTCGACAGCACTTAACAACAACAACATAATAAAATTTGGACAGTGTGGTGACTCCTTAGGATGAGAACTGGACTGTGAACCATAAGAACCACAGTTCAAGCCCAGCAGCTGCTTTGTGGGAGACAGATGACACCTTGTGCTCTTGCAAAGATTTACAGCCTTGGAAACCCTTACAGGGTCGCTGTGGATTGGAACTGATTCAACAGCAACAGTAATAAAAGTTCCATGAAGGCTGCTGCACAATAACGGTAAAATTACACATAGACATAAAAAAGGAGTTTGCATAAAGAATGACAAGGTTTAAGTATAAAAAAGTTCTCCACTACCCCAGATATAACTTGTTTGATAAACGTATTTAAACTGACATGAAGACAAAACCAAACCATTTCAATGCCCTATTAGAAGTCACAATTGGAGCTCCATAACTCACCATGGGGGAGGAAAGGTCCTAAGAAACCTAAAAAGATAAAGTAGTGTCATTAGCCTCAGAATTTATGTATTTTATAATAACTAAGGATATTGACATTTATTTTACTAACGCATTAAAAATCTTTATTATTAATTGTAGTGTCAGTTACTTAAAGGAAAACCATAGTTATCTCAAGACTTGTAATCTTTAAGCATGAGTTTTCTTAAATAAATATAGGCTGTCCCTGGGTTATGAACAAGTCGTTCATAACTGTGTCTGAGAATTTGCAGGTCCTTTGGAAGAGGTGCATAGGGTTCTTACTTAGCCTTACTTTAAATAATAAGTCCTGGTGGCACAATGGATTAAGCACCCAAAGGCAAATCAAATGGTTGGTGGTTCAAACCCACAGTCATTTCCAAGGAGAAGAATGAGGCAGTCTGCCCTCTGTAAAGCTTGACAGCCTTGGAAAGATTAAGGGGCAGTTCCACTCTGTGCTATAAAGTCACTACGAATCAGAACCAATACAACAGCAGTGGGTTTGCTTTGATTTTTGATTTAGTGCAAGAAAAGACTCAAAACCTTTTCAATGAGCTAAAAGCTATATATGCAGCAAGTAAAAGCAATTTTACATACTATTAACGCTCGACTTCTGAACACCACTGTTACTGTTAAGTATTATATCTTGGAGTCAGTTCAACTCATAGCAAATCCCGTATAGGGTTTCCAAGGAATACCTGGTGGTTTTGAAACACCGACCTTGCACTTATCAGTCCAGTGTTTATCCAGCGCCACACCAGTATTCAAAATTGCACTGGTGGTAGCATGGTCATGTGCCTTTGTCAATTCTGACTTATAGAGACTCTGTATAGGGTTTCCGAGGTAGTAAACCTTTATGAGAGCAGAAAGCCTCATCTTTCTCCCACAGAACAGCTGGTGGACTTGAACTGCTGACCTTGCACTTAGCAACCCAATGAGAAATCTACAGTACTACCCCATTCAAATTGACAGAACTCCACTAAAAGATGGCAGCAACCCACAGCTTCACAGTCCTACCAATCAGCCAGTATCATGCATGTATCAGGCTCAAGAAAGGGCTCACTAGACCTCTTCTGAGTCTCTCATTACAGGGCTAGGACTTGTCAGTTTTCCTTCCCAGTTATCAAAACCAACCGTAAAAATTCAGGTCTATTCCTGTCTTCATTGGACATGACAGAATCAATCCAAATCTGAGCATTAAAGTCGGAAGTGTCTTTACATAAAGACAGTTTAATGTAAAGACAGTTCCTACTTTAATAGGACTAACAGTAACTATAAATCCGTAACCCCACGACTATCTACATTGATCTAATCAATATTATAACTGTTCAAGGAAAGAAAACTTTTAACAATTTGTGATATTAAATTCCAAATTATCAGCAGAAACTTTGGATTCATTTACAAGAGTTGTTGTTAAATGCCATTGCGTGGTTCCTAACTCATAGCAACCCTGTACAGCGTTTCCAAGGAGTTACAGGTGGGTTTGCAACGACACTTTAATGTGGTTCAAATCGACCTTGTGGTCCAGTGCTTATTCTACGGCGCCATACCAGGGGGTTGGTTCCATACAATTATTAGGATACAACAAAGAACACTTTTCTCACAGCTCACAGTACTATAACTGAAATGGGTAATTTACCATACTTATTAAAAGGTCTGCTGTTTCAATATTCTCAAGTCACAGTTTCATAATTATTTCACAATTATTCATGAGCAAACAAATTTTCAGAAACACTAACAACTCTTAACTGTTGCTGTGGTGAAGTGCTGTCAAGTAGGTTCCAATTCTTAAGAGACAATTACAAAAACATTAGCGGAAGAAGCTAGATTTTTTTAAATGGTCAAGAATGTCCAATTTCAAAAGAAGCTGTAACATTATGTTCTATACTAGTCTAGTTTGAAATTTTGAAATTAAGAGATTAATTTTCATTCTGGGCCCACAAACTACAAACTCCAGTTAAATATCTTTGGCTTAATTCTTATGTTTTGAGGTTGAGGGTAACAGACCTTTAATACTTCTAAAATAATACTGATATTTCCCAAAAAGAGAATGTTCAATTTCACTTTCCATCACTCTGTTGTTAAGTGCCGTCAAGTTGGTTCCAACTCATAGCAACCCTGTACAGAGTTCCAGTTGGTCTAAATCTGTAAGAGTTGAATGGGCCAAGGAACCTAAAACTATCTTGACCATTAACAACTTAAATGTAAATATATCATTTCAATTTCACTTCCATGGTACATCTGTAATTTTAACTAAATGGAAAAACAAGGGCTAACACTAAAAGATTTATCTTCAAGTCACAGTTTTACATTTTATTACATTTCAAATACTACTTAAAAGATGGTAGAAGAGAAAAATCTTTACATACTAAGTTGTAGAGCTTTTTCCAAGCCTTCATAATAACACCGATTTTCTGCATTGCGATGAATCAAGTTTTTGAAAACTTCACTGGCTTCTTTCAATCGCCCCAATTTCAACAGCATTTCTCCTAAAATAAAGTTTAAAGACACATACATTTTACTAAAACATTAAATACTTTTCTGTACCCATAAATTTCATCAAGTATAAGAGGGGTAATTAGATATTTGTGAAATACAAAACTCTATGTGCTTCCCTCCGGGGCATGCTAAGCACAGACTAATTCAGTTCACTTTGAGATATGAACCTGCCTTTACACATTGCAAATAACGATAAACAGGTATCAGACTAACTAACATCCATTTTGGCTCCCTTCTGCACCCCGTTATATATACATATAATGTCTTAATTTGGAGTCCTGGCGTGGTGCTGTGGGTTAATGAGCCAGACTGCAAAGCCGTTTGAACTGCAAGGTCAGCGGTTCAAGCTCACCAGCTGCCCTTGGAAACCATATATAGGGTCACTATGGGTCAGAATCGACTCGACGGCACTTAACAACAACAACACATTAATTTGTTGATCATGATCCTTACATTACACATGTTTTGTGACCTTTAAAATAACTAAAGATTTTCTACAAAACAAAATTAGATTGGTAAGCAACTCTAATTAATACCGCCACCATCAAGATTAAGATTTTAATTTCCTTTCATGAACAATTCATATATTTAACAATTATCAACTCTATTATCTTCGTTTCCTCTCTAGATCATTAAATCATAGAAGTCTAACTCAATAAAATAGAAGCACAAAATGCCACTTTAGAGCAAGAAACCACAAACCACGTTAGTGTGTGGGTTTCACTTTCTTTGACTAAGCCACACAAATCAAAATTGAGAATGCAAATAAGGAATTTAAGCCTGTAAGGTATAATAGAAAACACACCTGCCACAATATAAAAAGAATATTCTCAAGAAGAATATACCTCTACTACCTGGTCTCATAGTAGTATAACAGAGTATTATTTTATTAATTATATATTATCTATTAATCAAGCTATAAATTAAGTATGGAACTGTAAGATAAGCATTGGACTGTTAACTGCAAGATTGGCAGTTCAAACCCACTGGCCACTCCTCAAAACCCCTACATAAGGTCACTAAGAGTCAAAACCGCTTTGACAGCACTTAAAAACAACAAGAATAAGACAGAACTGGGTATGATTACCAGCTCCACAAGTTTTGGCTATGTTACCTTCAGTAAGTTACAACCTTCCAAAGTCCATTTTAGCCGTACGGTATCAGCTGCTTCTATCAGTGTTTGTGACAACCACGTAACTTAACGTGGTTAGCATGGCGCATGACATAAAGTGAATATGTGCAAACATTTGCTATTTAAAACTGTAATAATGAACCATTCCTCCACAGTTATTTTATGGCCAGTCCAATTTTTGCCCTGGTTACCCTAGATATAATCAAAAACAGCTTATTTGTCATTTCTAAACATCTATGTTATCTGCTACCATCATGAGGCAAAAGTTATCACTGGACAAATACACAGGATAAATAATTACATCTGAATATTCATAAAATAAGTGAAAGCATTTAACTTTATCTTAAAAGGTTTTTTAAAGGATCTTAACATGCTAAGGATAAGCACTGGGCTTCTAATTTAAAAAAGAAAAGATCCGTTTATTAAAGGATCCTAACATCTTAAGGTCACTACTCATCCGTCAGTTCGTCGTACTGTGCTGGTTTGTCGTACTGTGTCAGTTTATCGTACTGTGTTGGCAACTGTGTCAGTTTGTCATACTGTGTCGGTTTGTCATACTGTGTCAGTTTGTCGTACATGTTGGCATACTGTGTCAATTTGGCATACTGTGTCGGTTTGTCATACCGTGTTGGCATACTGTGTCAGTTTGTCATACTGTGTCGGTTTGTCATGCTGTGTCAGTTTGTCATACTGTGTCAGTTTGTCGTACTGTGTTGGCATACTGTGTCAGTTTGGCATACTGTGTTGGCATACTGTGTCAGTTTGGCATACTGTGTCAGTTTGTCATGCTGTGTCAGTTTGTTGTACCGTGTCAGTTTGTCGTACTGTGTTGGCATACTGTGTCAGTTTAGCATACTGTGTCAGTTTGTCGTACATATTGGCATACTGTGTCAGTTTGTCATACTGTGTCGGTTTGTCATATGTGTTGGTTTGTCGAACTGTGTTGTTTTGTCTTACTGAGTTGGCATACTGTGTCAGTCTGTCATACTGTGTTGGTTTGTCGTACTGTGTTGGCATACTGTGTCAGTCTGTCATACTGTGTTGGTTTGTCGTACTGTGTTGGCATACTGTGTCAGTTTGTCGTACTGTGTCAGTTTGTCGTACTGTGTTGGCATACTGTATCAGTTTGTCGTATTGTGTCAGTTTGTCGTACTGTGTTGGGTTTGTGTGTTGCTCTGACTCTGGATGCTACGTCACCAGTATTTTAAACACCAGCAGGGTCAACCACGATGGATGGACAGGTTTCAGATGAACATCCAGACTAAAGCAGACTCGGAAGGAGACAGACTACTTCCGAATATTTAGTAACTGAAAAACTTGTGAATACAGTGGAACACTGTCAGCTAGTAACAAAATACTGAATAGTGAAACATGATAAACAGCAATAGAATACTGTCAGACACAGTGCCAAAAAAGGAGTCCCTCAAGATAGAAGGCACTCAAAATACGACTGGGGAAGAGCTGCGTTCTCAGAGTTGAGAGTGATGATGCGAAGGGAGTAGTTTTCAGGAACTTCATTAGCTGATGAGGCACAGCTTAAAATGAGGAGAAACAGCTGCAAGCATCTATTCATAATCAGAACACGGAATGTACAAAGTATTAACCTAGGAAAACTGAAAATTGTTAAAAATGAAATGCAACACATGAACATTGATATCCTTGGCATTAGTGAGCTGAAATGGACTTTTATTTTGGTCATTTTGAATCTGACAACCGCATGATCTACTATGCCAGGAAGGGCAAATTTAAGAGGAATGGTGTCTCATTCATCATCAAAAAGAATATCTCAAACTCTTATCTTGAAGTACAATGCTGTCTGTGATAGGCTGGCTCTATACACCTATAAAGAAACCAGTTAATAATACAAGTATTATTCAAATTTACACACCAACCACTAAAGCCAGTGATGATGAAACTGGAGAATTCTACCAACTTTTACAGTCTAAAATTGATCAAACATGCAATCAAGATATATTCATAATTACTGGTGAAAGGAATACAAAAGTTGGGGGTGGGGGGAGTAGGATTAGTTGGAAAATATGTCCTTGATGATAGAGACGATGCTGGAGATCACATGATATAATTTTGTAAGACCAATGACTTGTTCATTACAAATACCTCTTTTCAACAACATGAAAGACATACACATGGATCTCACCAGACAGAATATATGGATATCAAATTAACTACATCTGTGGAAAGAGTCAGTGGGAGAGCTCCTTATCAACAGTTAAAACAAGGCCAGTGGCAGACTGTAAAACAGACCACCAAATGCTCATATATGCAAGTGCTGAAAAATTAAATCAAGTCCACAAGAGTCAAAATATGACCTTGAATTTATAAATCATCCATCTCAAGAACAAATTTGATGCATTAGACATTAATGACCCAAGGACCAGAAAAGATGTGGGATGACCTCAAGAACATCATACTGGAAAAAAAAACAAAAGGTCATTAAGACAAGAAAGAAGAAAAAGATCAAAGTGGCTGTCAGAAGAGATTGTGAAACTTGCTCTGCAGAATAGAGACACTACAGCAAATGCTAGAAATGAGGAGGTAAAAGACCTGAATAGAAAATTTCAAAGGGCAGCTCAAGAAAACAAAGTCAAATATTATAATGAAATACACAAAGATCTGTAGTTAGAAAAACAAAAGGAAACAACACTTTCAGTATTTCTCAAGCTGAGGACACTGAAGAAAAAGTTCAAGCTTCGACATCAAATATTCAAGGACTCTATGGACAAAATAGTGAATGAAGCAGAAAGCATCAAAAGAAGATGGAAGTAGCACGCGAAGTCACTGTGCCAAAATGAAATAGTCAATGATCAACCATTTCAAGAGGTAGCATACGATCAAGAGCCAATCATACTGAAGGCATTGGCAATGAACAAGGCACTTGGAATTGATGGAATATAAATTGAAATCTTACAGCAAATTGATGCAGCACTGGCGGCACTCACTCATCCATGCCAACCAATTTGGAAGATAGCTATTATCTAGGCAACTAATTGGAAGAGATCAATATTGGTCCAAATCCAAAGAGAGGTGACCCAATGGAATGCAGAAATCATTAACATCATAAATATTGCATACAAGTAAAATTTTGCTAAAGATAATTCAAAAACAATGTATTAACAGGAAACTAGCAGACATTCAAGCCAGATTTAGATGAGTACTTAGAAGGAAGGATATAACTGCTGACGTCAGATGGATCTTGGATGAAAAAGCAGAGAATACCAAAAAGATGTTTACCTGTGCTTTACTGACTATACACTATGCAAAGGCTTTTGATTGTGAGGGTCATGACAAACTGTGGACAACACTGCACAGAATGGGTATTCCAGAACACTTAACTGTGCTCATGAGGAACATGTACACAGACCCAAAAGCAGTCGTCTGAACAGAAGGGAACACTGGTTTAAAATTAGGAAAGGTGTGTGTCAGGGCTCTATTCTTTCACCATAGTTATTCAATCTGTATGCTAAGCAAATAATCCGAGAAGCTGGATTATGTGAACAAAAACGTGGTTATCAGGATAGGAGAAAGACTCATCAACAGCCTGTGATATGTAGAAGATACAACCTTGCTTGCTGAAAACCAAGAGGACTTAAAATATTTACTGAAGAAGATCAAAGACCACAGCCTTTGATATGGGTTGCATTTCAAGGTAAAGAAAACAAAAATCCTCACCACTGCATCAATAAATAACAAACATAAGTGGAGAAAAGACTGAAGTTGTCGAAGTTGACTTCATTTTGCTCAGATCAACCACCAACACTCATGGAAGCAACAGTCAAGAAATCAAATGATGCATTGCATTAGGCAAATATGCTGCACAAGACCTCTTTAACATGTTCAAGAGCAAAGATGTCAGTTTGAAGAGTAAGATGCACCTGACTCAAGCCATGGTATTTTCAACAACCTCATATGCATGTTAAAGTTGGATAATGAATAAAAAAGATGAGAGAATTAATGCATTTGAGTTATGGTGTTAGAATATTAAAAGTACCATGGACAGCCAAAAAAAACAAACAAATCTGTGTTGTTTTGTTATAATAAAATGACTAAAATACTATCTGACCTATGTTGTTGTTGTCAAGTGTCATCGAGTCAGTTCTGACCCATAGAGGCCCTGTATAGGGTTTCAAAGAAGCAGCTGGAGAGTTGGAACCACTAGGTTGGTGGTCTGATAGACAGCAAATGTTATTTAAGTGTTAGGACAGAACATATATTTGGATTTTTCATTGAGGCCATTTAAGAAAAAAAAGTCAAGGCAAGGTGACCTGAACTCAAGCCAAGAAAGGTAAAGATGTTTAGAACAAGTACAAACTGCTACAATTTGAGAAACTAGACTTTTGCCTATGGATGCAGTGACTCAAAATTCCAACCAGAATGGAAGGATTCTTCATTACCAAGGAACAAACTTGTTTGCTTAGTGTACTGGGTCGATGCTGTTAGTGTTAAGTGCCATTAAGTCGATTCTGACCCAGTGTAGGGTTTCCAAGGAGCAGCTGGTGAGCTTGAACCACCGACGTTGCAGTTCAAATGACTTTAGAGTCTGACAGCGACACACCAGAAATTTAAACATTGGCAATCAAAACTGGGGGAGGCTGCAAAAGGACGAAGTGGCTAGTTTATAAACTTTTATGAGTGTGCTTAGTTGCAGAATGAGGGAGCAAGCTAGAATCCCCACAGAATAGTTTATCTCTTTCCCAGATGGATCTGGTGAAAGGGGATGGAGGACGATGGGGACAGGATTTTTGACTCAACTGTGAATAACTGTCAATTAGCAGGATTAATTGCAATTTTCACAACTGTTAACTGTAGATGTGCAACTACAAGTAGGGAATACGTAATCTTTCACTTCAGGAACAAACGATCCTAGGACCATTAAGAAGGAAGAGCATGAGATCCCGACCTAAAAAAGAGGTGACAGCAAAAACAATGGCTGTGTATCTGCACACAAGAAACTGAATGTGCCCTTTGGACATTCAAATGAATAGATGTTTTTGTTTGTTAATAAGACGTCAAATATTTTTGCCTTGTTCATTTATGAAATATAAGATGCAAATGGGAAGCCATAGCGAGGAATTGAGATAAATGTTGTTCCAGGGAGGGGATTGTAATCATTGAGATGAAACAAGGTATAAATTTGCTGAATGCAGAGCTGATGATCTTGTCTATAAACCTTCATCCAATTCACAATACAAAGTTAAAAAAAAAAAAAGTCAAGCCAACTTACCTTTAATTTCTTCCACCAAAAGTTTATCACATATTTGTTTCTCATATGCTTCTATATGTTCTAAGGATTCCTGAAATAGATCTGCCTCTCTCATCACTTGATTTTGGTATAGTATAAGTTCACTATATTCATAGTCTATTTTATTGGGAGGAATCTGGGGGGGTTAAAAAAAAAAAAAAAGGCAAAGTTATCTGGTTTATAATTATATGGATTAGTTATAAATGTTTCATTAAAGTGCTTTCTCAGGAGAATCATTATCACAGTCTTAAAATTTTTTCCACAAGCAATTAACTAGAAAAGTAGTTCACAGCATGAAGGATTAATACAACCGTTAAAACACGTAAGAAACTGGAACTAATAGTTATGGCAAACTGAAGAGGTCAATAAATTCAATCCCCCCAAAACAAGTATAAAAGTGGTCTGAATCCTCACGAATCTATACAATTACTAGTAGTACTAATATACAAGATTAATAAGGCCACAGGATGCAAAATCAATAAAACAGTTCACTAAATTTCTATATACTAGCAACAAACACCCAAAAACAGAATTATGAAAACAATTTCATTTATAATAGCATCAAAATCACAAAATATTAAGAAATAAATTTAATTAAAAAAATAGCTCTTTATGGGAAAACTACAAAAAAAAATTACAGATCTAAACAAATGAAGAGACAACCATTTCATGTCTACAAGTCAAGATACAATATTCTTAAGATGTCAACATTTAACTAAAAGTTAATTTGTACATTTGACAATTTATCAAACCTCAGAATTTTCTGAAGACACTGATAAACTTGTAATAAAACGCAAATCGAAACGCAAAGGACAAAGAATAGCCAAAACAATTTTATCAAAGGACAAAGTTGAAACACGTTTTTCCAAATTTCAAAACTTACTACAGTAATCAAGCAAACGTGATACTGGCATAAGAAGAGACATATAGATCAATGGAACAGAATATAAAGCTCCAAATCACACCCCTACGTTTACAGTCAACTGATTCTGGACAAAGATACCTAGGCAACTCAATAGGGAAAGAATAGGTTATTCAACAAATGATGCTATAACTATTCTGTAACCAAGTGTCTGGAAGATGGATAGCAAAAGAATGACCTTAGACACATAACCTCTTATGATATACAAAATTTCACTCAAAATGGGTCATACACCTAAAAGTGAGAGCTAAAACTACAAAAGAATGGGATAAAGTATTTATAAGCTTAGATTAGGCAAAGACTTCTTAGCTATGAAAACAAAAACATGACTGGTACAAGAAAATAGTAATAAAACTAGACCATCAGAATTAACAAACCTATTTTGTAAAAGGGAATAATTTCTAAAATATATAGGAAACTACAACAATTTTACAAGAAAAAGATAAATAACCCAATTAAAAAATGTGCACAGGACATGAACAGACACTTCACCAAGGAGGAGATCCGATCCAGGCAGGCAATAAACATATGAAGAAATGTTCACAATCACTAGCCATTGTTGTTGTTAGGTGCCATAGAGTCGGTACCGATCCATAGCAACGTTATGCACAGCAGAACGAAACACTGCCAATCCTGGGCCAACCTCACTACTGTTGCCACACTTGAGTCCATCAATACTGCCACTTGGCCAATCCATCTCGCTGTTGGAGGGATGCAAATCAAAACAACTATGAGATATCATCTCACACCAGCAGTAACAGTAAAAATCAAAAAAGTAGAGGACAATAAATACTGCCAAGGATGCAGAGAGACTAGGATGCTCCTACATTGCTGGTGGGATTGCAAAATTGTCCAACCACTCTGGAAAGCAATATGATGCTTACTCAGAAGGTTGGAAATAGAAATACCCTATGATCCAGCAATTCCTCTACTTGGTATTTACCCACAAGAAACACGAGCCATAATATGAGTAGATATATACACACCAGTGTTCATAGCAGCACTATTTACAATAGCAAAAAGATGGAGACAGACTAAGTGCCCTTCAGTGGAAGAATGGATAAACTGTGGTACATATACACAATGGAATATCATGCTACCTTGAAAAATGACAAGGAAGCTGCAAGCCACCGCATAACATGGATGAACCTTGAGGACATTATGCTGAGTGAAATTAATCAGTCACAAAAGGAGAAATACTGCATAGGACCATTACTGTAAAAGACTAAGAAAAAGAACCCACACGTGGGGGTGGGGTGAGGGGAGGAAGGGGAAGGTGGAGCACAAGGTAGGGAAGACACAGGATACCTTGCATGCTGGGGGGGGGTGGGGTGGTGAATAGACAAGATTGGGGAGGGGAATGGAAGAACAATTAGGCAGGCTTGCATGGGCTAAGTGGGACAGAGGTAAGTAATGATGTACGCAGAACCTTGGAACAACAGGGCTCTGGGATATAGGGACTGAGGCATGGTTTGAATGGGTAAAAGAGGGGAATAATGTTAAGATGCCTTTTGAATGTTGATTTCCCTTGCATGCCATAGTAAAACAGACACTTGAAGGAGAGAAAGGAATTGCCAGAAATGTCACCATAGAAAGCTTGTAAGTCTGTCTTCAGCCTATAACTGACTGGAACACCTAAGACGGGGCTACAACTTGCCCAGCGAAGGAGGCTTCCTACAGAGCATTTGCACTGCATAAGACCATAGGTGGAATCCTGATCCACATCCAGAATCTTCTGAGGTGGGGAATCTCCACTTGAAAGGACAAGCAGACCAACTTGGTGCGGCTAGAAGAACAGAATACACTTCTTGAAACAAAGAAGCAGGAAAAATGAAAAATAACGGCAGCCTGACTAACTACTACAAGAACAAGCAAGTTGTACACCTAGGAGCCATCAAGGCAAGTGGTTTGGTCCCTTCAGAGCAAACCCCCATCCAAGACTAAGACTCAAGGGGAATACATGAGCAAGCATGTGGTCTGACTGGTGACCACACTGGTCACCGATAAGGGGAAGTGGGGGAAAAACAGCAATGAAGTTGTGAGCTAAGTCCAACCAGGTTCAACAGACTTCTGTGAACCCGGGTGGAGATCTGGTTGGACAGCAGTATGGCAAAACCTGGGGACTCCTGGGCCTAGAGACAGTGACATGGCCACAGAAGACTAGAGTGGAGAGTGAAGCATTCCGCTGTATCAACTGAGGGGAGATGCACAAGAACACCCATACTTGAAGAACAGTTAGGCAGGTTTGCATGTGCTAAATAGGACATAGGTAAATATTGATGTAAACACAACCTTGGAACAACAGGGCCATGGGATATAAGGACTGAGGCATGGTTTGAATGGGGAAATAATGTTAAGATGCTTGACTGTCTTTTGAATCTTGGTTTCCCTTACCTACTATTGTAAAATAGACACTTGAGGGGGAGAGAAAGGAATAGCTAGAAACATCACCCAGGAAAGCTTGTAAAAGGCCATCTTCAGCCTATAACTGATTGGAATACCTAAACTGGTGCTAGAACTTGCCCAGTAAAGGAGGTTTCCTGCGGAGTCTTTGCATTGCCTAAGACCATAAGTGGAATCCTGATCCCCATCAAGAATCTTCTGAGGTGGGAAATTTCCACTTGAAAGGATAAGCAAACCAGCCTGAAGCAGCTAGACGAACAGAAGATAATTCTTGAAAGAAAGACCAGCAGGAAAAATAAAAAAAAGTAACAGCAGTCTGACTTACTACTACAAGAACAAGAAAGTGTCAGGTCCCCTCAGGGCAAACCCCATTCCAAGACTCAAGGGGAATACACAAGCAGGCATGAGGGATTGCTGCTGACCATGTTGGTCACCCATAAGGGAAAGTGGGGGAAAAACAGTGATGAAATTGTGAGCTAAGTCTGACCACACTCAATAGATTCCTGTTAACCTGGATTGAGACCTGGTTGGCCAGCAGTTATGGCAAGACCTGGGGACTACTAGGGACAGGGACATGGCCACAGAGGACTAGAGCAGAGAGTGAACTGTCCAGCTGATATGAAGTGAGGGGAGATGCACAAGAACACCCACACTTGCAGATAGTACCCACTTAACCTGGCTTCAATGGTTGGATGATCAAAACTCAACTAGAGGAAGAAAGAAGAGGGAAAAAAAGAGTAATCCACTACAATTTGATGAACTTGACCTATGCTTACTGATGCACTAGGTCAATGGAGGGAATAAATCTTTACAGCGAGGATCACTCCCACCCCCTTGATACACGGGTTCGACAAGGATGGACAACTTAGACATTGGCTATCCAAAATGGGGATGGTGCAAAGGCACAAAGTGACTGACTTACAAGCTTTCAACAGGGAACTAGTTCCAGAGGGTGTGTGGAAAGGTAGAATCACCACTGAGTGGATTCCAACCTGTCTAGACAGGGCTGATGATAGGAATTGGGGGCAAGACTCTTGTGGTTCAATAGTAAAGGACTGCTATCAGTTCTGACTGTTGCAAAGGTAGGGGTAGAGGTTTGGTAACAAAAGGAAGGGCGTGGTAGATTTTGCAGTCTGGGAGCAGAGGTCTCTGGAACCATCAAGGGAGAAGAGCGAAGTCCGAGACCCTACCCAGAGAAGCAGCAATGCCAGAGATGGAGGCAGAGAAAATGATGTGGAGAGATGGAGCAGCTGAGGACTCTAGACCCAGAGAGGGAGAGGGGCTATGTGCTGACAGCAGGGGGGCAGGCTTGAGGGGTGTACCCTTTGGTAGTTTGATGATACACGGAGGGGATTGTAATCATTGCAATGAAACGAAATAAGACAGGATGAATGTAAAGCTAATGTTCTCCCATGTAAACTATCATATAATTCACAATAAAAACTTATAAAAAAAAAAAAAAAAGCAAACATTTTGAGGTACATACAACACTACAAAAAGAATTGTATCTCAAAAACAAAGAAAACTATTTCAAAAACTAAAAGGTATTTTGCCCTCTTCGTAATGAGGTAGAAAACTTTCTCATCCAAACAGTTCTCCAATTATGTGCTTAAAAAGTTTCTTCCTCTGAAACAGTAAGTATATTAATAATTTGAAACAAAGACAAGTTCAGATCTGGAATAATATTACTAATTGATGCCATGTTACAACACTTAGAAGTTCAACAAAATAACCTCCTTTATTTCCCTTCTCCTCACTAAGCAGAAATTAAGATTTAATTTTAAAGATACCTACAACTCCTAGCAACAAAA